CTGGACCACAGCTTGCTGTCTGCATGCAAAGTGGATGTAGGCTTATGGGCAGCCTTGGCGTACCTTTGTGCGGACCTGAACTCTGTGCACAGAAGCTGTGTCTCCTACTGCAGAAGGCCACCGGGACATGGGTCCCGCACTCAGCCTGGCAGGAGCATGGCCCCAGGGAAGAGATGGCCACTCTGCTGCTTGATTCCCACCTCACCTGCTGCAGGTCGATGAAGACATCTCCTACGGGAGGGGACTCTCCAGCTGCCATTTTGGTTCAGGACCTAAAAGCCTGGGCAAAATATCAACCCTTCTCTTTCACCGGCAGGCACCCAGCAAACCTGGAGAGTGGCATAACCTGTGGAGAGAGGGCAGGACAAGGGAATGTCGTGGGAGACAGCTGGCCACTGCCCTCAACCCCCCTGGCTCCTAACCCAGAGAGGTCACCTCACCAGCCCTTGGGGAACCTCTCCAGCATCACTAGGACAGGTCTGTCCCATGGTACATTGCAGTGAGGGAGCAAGAATGGCCCAGCCCACGCTGTTTTGTGCAGCAGCTCTAACAGTTCAAGGGCAGGCAGAACTATGTCCTGCCCTGAGTGACCTGCTGCATGGATGGTGCAGGCCCAACTGAGACGGGGGCTACACAGAGCTCCTGCATGGCTGAGCAAGAGGAAAGGCTTCCTGCTCAGCCATCTCTCCACCAGCACATCTGTGCAAAGCCAGGGTTTGACTGGCCATCAGGGAAGGATAAAGTTGGCAAGATCAGGTGCTGGGAGAGCATGCTGGGAGCAGGCAGCAGAGTGGTCCTGTGCCACCTAGTTTTAATTGGGCAGATCCCAAAACGCCAGAAGGAATCTCAGATTGATCCGTGAGGGCAGAGAGATTGCACAAGGACAAACAGCTCATCATTCAAACACCAAACACAAAACAATACATTACAGGGAAAGAGGCCAACCTTCAGACTGCAGATCTGTGCCCTGTCTGCACCAGCTTGGCTGAGGGACGCAGAAGACCCCACGGGGAGCCCAAGGGAACACTCTGCTCAATATGAAACTCCAAGTGAAGAACACAGTGAGGTGCCACAGTTGACAAGGAGTGGGATGGAGACTAATACAGAAACATTTGTAGTCGTATCACCTACAGCAACGATACAGGCTGAGCTCAACATGGGCTGCACCCCAGGAAGAATTGGAGACAGCACAGAGACTGGCACTGGGAAGAAACAGACCTCCAAAAACTCATCTAAACTCAGATAGTTGCACAATGTTGTGGACATAGGTATAAGCAGTCATCTCACAGCACAAGAAAAGGGACATTTGTTAAAAATACAAGGGTAGAATATAAATGAACTCAAAACTGGCAAGAGAACATTTTTTCAATGATGTCACCGAGGAGGAAAAACTGCAGTCAGAGAACAGCTTGGCCATCTCTCTGGGTAACAAGCTGTCATATCTATGACAAAGAAAATTAGGAGAAGTTAAACCCATCCTTCAGAACAAGCCATTCTCCAGCTATGAAAGCTTTGGAGAAGAATTACAGGTTATATCCCAGTAACCTGCTGAGGAGTTTCTTACTGTCTCATCTGAAGTACCTAGTGTGGGCCACTGCTCAAGACAGGCCACCGAAACACTAAAATAGATGCAGGGACAAGGCATCACGACTGGTAAAGAGAGGATCGGCTATTTGTAAGGAACTTAGCATCCACAGCTACAGACTTCCCGCAAAAACATGTTGCAAGCACTACTACTTCAGGGAACAAAATGACAATAGGGCTTTGGACAGCAGCTCCTGTAGTGGCAGAATCACTAAAAACTAGCAAAACGGTAAAGCTCATTTAACAAAAAAAGTGCTAACGCTCAGCTCCACCTCTGTGCCCCTAATGTGCCTTGTGGGGCCTCCAAAGGAAACTGAAAACTATCAGCAAACTTGTGAAACAATGTGCTTTGTTTCAGGTCAAGCTCAGGTTTGTCTCGAGCTAGGCAGAAGTTCACAGAGGCATTCATGCTCCAGGCAGGAGGAAACCCAGGACTGGAAGATCTGCTGGAAGCAATGAACTCTGCTGATTCCAGCTTTTCAAGATGTTACACTGAGTTTAAAACTACACCTGGACTGCTTAAACAAAGTTAAAAGGAAGGGAAAATCCAGCACTTACTCTTTCTTTACCCACCTAAACTACGTATTCTGAATTATGCTGACGATACGGCACTAATGACACTGCTGAACAGCTAAAAGCAAGACAGTTGTACTAGCAGTAAAGTAAGAGAGCTCTTGGGACTTGCTTTGAAATTTCATAGGGAATGTGACACGCCCATAGGGTTTCCATCAATCCCCTGCTCATCACCATGTGAAAGCAGGACACCAAGCATGGGCACCCCAAGCCGGCAGGGCTTGGGGCAGAGCTGCTGAAGGGGGCTGTGCTTTGGGCTGAGAGAGGGGCAAGGGTGGGAGTCACATTCTCTGATGCTAACCCTATCGCCCTGCTGCCTTCTCGAGAAGGGCGAGCCAGTGGCCTGGGAGCACTGATGCTCCCTTTCGGTGCGTTAGTCGACGGCTGGCCACTAGAGGCCACTTGCCCCTTACTCCGTGCAACCTCTGGGAGAAAGGCTGAATGGGTCCGTAATCGCATTTGGCCTGGCTTTTCTAATACTTTCAACAGACGGAGTTTGGAGAAAAACAACAAAAAATTGCCAGTAGGCCAGAGGGATTGATTTATAAGGAAAGGTTAGGAGCTAAATTTGTCTAGCGCAATATGGGATGACTAAGATGGGGAGGGGACAAGCCAGCAGTCTGGAAAGATCTCAAGGGTGTTAAATGCAGCTAAAGATTTTTTTATTATTTTTTTTATTTCAGGCAGCCCTGCACAATAACACTTAGAAACAGGATAAAATTTAAGAGAAACTTAAAATGAGGACCAGGGAGAATTCTATTACGGAGCATCATGCTGGAGCGCCCAGTCTGCTGGCAGCACTGCCTGGGCTGCCATGAGAAGCACACAAGACAAAAGCGAAAAGAAGAAAAAAAAACAGTAAAGAAAACTGAATGAATTATATCTTCATCGCACTGTATCTCCTGGTTATTGGGAGTACATGATTCAGCATTCCCGCTAGAAGTAATTTTCAGTAATAGAAGCATCATGCCAGCAGGCCAGATTCAGACGGAGGCCAGAAAAATCCACAGCCTGCCAACCTGTGAGCACTCACACCTCCCCACTCTCTCTGCAAGCATATCAGTAAACACAACTGGTTCACCTAAATCACCATACCTCATAGGCCATCTGGACACTGGAAGAAAGCGAGCAGGCATGCCCCTGCCACACTGGCAGCTATGGCGTCTCCCACATGTTGCTTCCCCCAACCCCCGAAGGCTGCTTCACAGTGCTAGTGCAGAGGCTTTCCTGCTTTGCTGAAAAAAACTCATCTGGTGTGTCTTTGAGGGGCAGAGGTGAGCAGTTCATGCTGCCCCTTTGCTGTAAGAATGAGCCGGGAGGGCTACAACAGGCTGCCCCAGCTCAGGGGCAAGGGGCTGCATGGGGACATCATCAGGCCCCCATACTCATCTCCTCAGCTCTTCCCTAATCCCCTGGCCATTAGGCTGAGAATAATTTAACTGTGGAGCGTCTAGACAAGGAGTGGATGTTAAGAAAAAGCCATAGGGGCAAAGCTGGCCTGGGGATAGAGGAGCAGAAGAGACTCTGGTTGACAGACACAGATGAGAAGAGCTCAAAAAAGAGAAGGATTAGAGGCCCAGGAAGACATACTGATGAGCCTGTCCACGGAGGAGAGGAGCGGGAGGGGTGCTGCTGCGTACAACGAAGCATTTGGATGCTGCTGTGACAGTCACAGCCTCAAAAGCTGACTAACAGGAGCGAGCTGCACAGCCTCTACTTCTCCCCTGCCACAGCAGGAAGGGGGGGACTCTCACAGGATGAAAAGATGACATACAAGACAGTAAACATATTAAGTTTTCAGGCATGAAGGATTTAACCTGTGGATCTCTGCCACAATCCTATGCTGAAACTGATAATACATAAATATTTTATAAAGCTTAAATATTTCAGTGAATCCTATACCCTGTTGAACTACCCTGGGTAATCCACCACAGCCATCCACTGTTAAAGCACCTGCTCTGTTCCCTGACTTCAGAGGCCCTTCACAGAGGTACCAGATGGGACAAGCTCGCACAGCCACACAAACACATGAGAGCAAAACCCACTCCAAAACGGAGCACCAGCACCAGACAGTGACAAAGAGACACCCCTCCACTGGATGTATGGACAGCTCTAACAGACAAGACACACGTACAGCTGGGGAGCACAGGGATGTAGGCAGGCATTGGGGATGCACTGCACCGTGTACGGTGCCGTGCCAAGCCGTGTCATGCAACCCGTACGGTGTGGTGTACAGGATCACAGCACACCAGGCACCATGCTGTGCACCATCCAACACTGGACACCGCGCCGTGCCCGGGACTGTGCTGCATGTCATGCCATGCACCATGCACCATGCCACAGACCACGCTGCACCATGCCATGCACCACGCAGCGCCCGAGCGTCCTGCGCCCACCGCACCCGCGGGCTGCCCGGGCTCAGCGGGGCAGCGGCGCTCCCCACGCGTGTCCTCGGGGCCCGTGGGCTGCTGCAGCCGGGGGGGCGGCGAGGCAAGCGCCCGCGCTAGCCCCCTCCCGGCCCGTACCTCGCACCGCCAGAGAAGAAGAGCCGCCCGCCGCCGCGCCGCGCCTCGGCTCCGCCACCGCGCTCCACCCGACACGTGCCGTTCCGTGCCGGCGGCGGGCGGCGCTGCGGCCCCGGCCTCCCGCCGGCCTTGCGCTGGGCGCGGCGTGAGTCCGCGGCTCCGCTTCGTGCCGCCCGTCCCAGGCCGCCCCCGCTTACCGGAGCGGTGGCGGGGCGGCGGGGCGGGGCGCTTCCCCGGCAGCGCGGGGCTGCTGCGGCGGCGGGGCGGGGGCCGAAGGACGCGGGCCCCGCCGGGCGGGAGGGGGACGCTGGGGCGGGCTCCATGGCAACCGGATGTAAGTGGCGGCGCTCTAGCTGCGGAGGCCACCTCGCTAGTGCGGCGGAAGAGCGCGTCTCGGTGGTAACGCGGAAGTGCGAGAGGCCGGCGGCGGTGCGGGTCGGGTTGGTCCGGTCCGGGTTGTGCCGGTCCGAGGTCACCTCGGCTCCGCCGCCTCGGCCTCTCCCCCGCTGCAGATGGCGGAGACGGAGACGCTGGTGTGCGGCCTGGCCCGACTGCTGCAGGAAACGGGTGAGTGGTGGCAGCCGCGGGTCGGGCCGGGCCGGTGTGAAGGCCCCGATGCCGGGGCAGCAGCACTCACGGCCTGGCCCGGCCCGGCCCGGCCCGTCCTGTCCTTCCCTTTCCCTGCAGGGGACCTCGTCCTGGATGGCTCCAGCACGCTGACGCTCCTGACCCCCACTCTGCAGCACCTCACGCAGGTCTTCGAGCAGCACCTGGGCTCCCGCAACCAGAACCGGGGCTTCGTGGCCCTGCCCTCGCACCCGGCCGAGACCACCGCCATCCTCCAGGCCCAGTTCCTCTTTGACGTCCTGCAGAAGACTCACTCCCTGAAGGTCTGTACCTATCGTGGCCGGGGACGTGAGGGGCTGGGGCATTGCAGGGCCTAGCAGCAGAGGTGGCTGGCACAACTTGTCTGCTTCAGAGTGGCCTCCTTTGGTTCCCGTTGACCCCAGCTTCCGTGGGTCGGGTGGCTCTCACAGGGCTATTGCATGGAGTTGTAGTTCAGTGTGTAACTGCTTCACCTAGGATTAGCCATGCAACTCAACTGAAAGCTTTTCAGAGTTGAAAACAGGGGCAGCAGGAGTTAATTATGTTCTGACCTTGGTAATGTGTTGACATTGTTGGGAAAATGATTGTTTCCTGAAATGCTTGAGCAATTCAGGCAGTATCTGGCAGCTGAGTGCTCCCTGAGTGATGATTGATCTGCAGGAAGCAGCAGAGCCAGGTTATTCTAGCAGGGCAGTTGTGTGTTGTATACACCCATAACTTCTGCCGTTTATTTCTGAGTTTTACATGCTCCTGCCTGGGCAGTAGTTCTGGTTGATCTGTTTCGCGGCATGGGACATTGCTAGTAACATGTCCTTGTTAATTTTAAGAAGTCTGTAATAAAGATAAAGGTACAGTGCTAGGGATTCTTCAGAGGGCGTTTTGAAAAGTGGTGTGTGTTATGAGGCTGTACTTGGCACTAGGAGGGTAGCAGAGGTGAAATGGGCCTAAAAAGGGAAGGGGAATTAGCAGCTGTTCTTAGGTTCCACAGCAGTGCTCAGGAGATGTTGTGTCTGAGTGCTACATCATGTGATGCCTTTAAAGGTGCTTTCCTTATGACAGATTGGAAAGATTACCTGAATGTTGCTGGGAACGTTTTGTAGCGGTGTGGTGGGGGTAGAGATTGGAGGGGCCCCCAGAGCCTGTGGAGAAACATGGGTCTCCTGGCAGGAGGAGGTGAGAAGGCTGGTGCAGGCAGGAAGATGTTGTGGTGAGTGCTGGTGTTGACAAAAAATAGGCTCTTTCTGTAACAGACTTGTAAAGAAGGGGAAGTTGCCCATTGTGGTGTGGTAACTGATTTGCTTGGGGAAGGTGGTAATTATATCAGCCTGATCCGATTCTTATGACAATGGAGTGACAAATGGCCGAGACAGGATATAGAGCAAGGATGGCATCTGAAAGAAATTTCACTAAACTGATCATTAGAGCTTCCCAGTGGGAGCTTCCCCTACAAATGGTCCTGTTCAACATGTTGCATTAGGGCTGGCAGGCAGTGGGCAGTGATTCATTGCCACCAGAGCTATAACTGTGGAAGTGGCTGCAGTGATGAGGCCTTGGGATGTCTGTTCTGCATCTGATGAGTCACTTTTATGTGAATGTGGATGTAGCTGGCAGAGATGGTCTCTCCATTTGTACTCTGCTGTCTGTAGTGGAAGTGTTAACTGCTCCATAACTCGCTTTGTCTTAAATACTGTTTATGCACTCTCTATAGAAAGCATAAGAAGCTGAATTTAATAAGATGCTTTGAACATAAACACAGCTTAACTACTCTGTGGTGCAATTCTCCACTACATTATGCAAAGAGGAGGTTTGCAGGTACCTCAGTCTAATGCTAACAGTGTCTTGGAGACAAGCTCTGTTTTCCAGTGTATCTGCTTGTGATTTGCCTTATTTGGCCTGTTTCAGTGAAATGCACGTGCACACCTCCCACCAGTGTTCTAGTTTAGCTCAGTTGCTCGATAAACATAGCTCCAGCAGTTAGAGTTGTCTTTACTTATTAGATTTATTAGCAGTGGCTGGTGAGGAATCCCTTTGGTTCTGAAAGTGGTGCAGCCACATGGGAGAAGAAAAGGAGTTCTATGGTGGTCTTGTGCTACCTAACGTGCTTTTCTCATTGAGCTCTTTTGCACTATGGGGCCACGAGACGGTCCTGATAGCAGCACCGGGAGTGAGCTTGGTAGTGAACACCTGAGCTGGACGGGGATGCACCTGTTTAAGGTGCTGCAGTCAGTGCATCATGAGAGGGGTATTGCAGCACAAATTGAACTTGAAGTGAGACTTATTTTCTGATTTCTCTAGCTTGTTCATGTTCCGAACTGTATTTTGCAGTCTGCTGTGAAGATCTTCCCTTTTAAGTCCCTCCGGCATCTGGAAGTAAGTACTGAAGGTAGAACTGGCTTTGAGTCTTACCGACTTAGTTTTGTGGTTGCAGAATGTCTCTACTCCTATAAACTGGGTTGGCTTTTCTGGCCTCCCTAGAAGGCTAAGTCTAAACTTGGCAACACTTGCTCAGGGTGAAGCTTGAGTATGAGCAAAAGCTGAAGTGCTAGGGAGGGGGGGGCTCCAGGAGGGAAATGGGAGCTCCCTTGCAGAGGTGGACTGCTGCTCTTACACTGTAGTATTTTGATGTATGTTGTCCTTACTTTCTCATGACTGTTGCAGTTGAGGTCTGTCCCTCCGCACTGTCTCCAAGGACTGCGATTTGTCTATTCTCAGCTGGAATCTCTAACCTGTTGCAAATGTATCAGTACACTGGAGGTGAGTGTATCTACACAAATTGTGAGGAAAATTGCAGCAGAAAGGCTGTCTTGATCCTACAGCCCTTCCCACAGGGGAGATGCAAGAGACAGCGTTAACTATCTTACCAGTCCATGTTGTACATGGCTTTTTCTCTCTTCCCTGTTGTGGGGTTCTACTCCAGACTCAAACAATGTTGAAATATTTCCTGACTGGATACATGTGTGCACTGTAGTCTCCTTTTTATGTGCTTAAGAATTCCTATCTCTGGCCAATATTTTATCAGCTAGGCCTGACCATTCTGTGTGTCTGGCTGTTTCCACGTTCAGAGGCCAGCAGCTGATCAAGGTTTGTTTCATTGTACCAAAGCAGCATAAAATTGGAGCTGATTGTCAGAGAGAATGCTGTGCCCCCGTGTCTTGTATGCACTGATGCCCAGCAGGTTTCTGAGACATGGAGGCAAGCTCCAGGCATGGAGAACTGTGTAGCGTGGGCTGTGCTAGCTGTGAAACTTGGGCTTCTGTTTGTGGCACAGAAGCAGCTGCCTGCTGGGAAACAGGAGCTGCTGGTAGGGAGTGCTTTGAGAGCTTTTGTCTGCCAGAGCACAAGTTACTTGGTCAGGGTTTGTGTATCTTCTGCTTTTATGCAAGTCTGGAAAAGGTTTTGCTGGCATGAATTTTTGTGCGTAAGTGTTCAGAGCCTATGAATTGTAATGTGTTAGGTTAACTGTTGCCACTTGAATGTAGGAAGCAAAAGCATCTCCCCTTCTTTCTAAATATCTAGCTGTGGAATTTCCACCACCTCCAAATACTTGAACTAGTGACATTAAAGTAATTGACACTCTAGGCAAGGCAGGGTCTGTAAAGCACAATTATGTCAGCCTTGTTCCAGACAAGCTGTTTTCCTGTGTTCATCTGCTGTTACTGTAACAGCTAGTACTCATCAAGGAATGGCTCTTCCTTTCTTCCTAGGAAATCATTTCAGCATGTGGTGGTGATCTGAGCTGTGCTCTCCCATGGTTGGAATTGCAGACTGTGAACTTCAGCTATAACTCTATCACTGCCCTGGATGACTCGCTGGTGAGTGGGGCATTCTTCCTGTGTGGCTGAGGGGAAGAGAGGAGATAATCACAGCCAAGAACTGGGCACTCCTTTACTGATACTGCTAGGTCTGGGTGGGAGGGAGTGGGAAGTGTTAATTTTGCTTACCACTCCCATCAGGACAGGGTTTCCATGCTTCAGTGGAGACATCCTAGGATCTGATCTAGTATCTTTTCACCCTTCAGCAATTGCTGAATGCTCTGAGAGTTTTGGATTTGAGTCACAACAAGATCCAGGATTGTGAGCACTACTTAACGGTGAGTATCTTGGGCTGAGCACCAGAGTTTGTTTGAATGGAGAGGACACTACTAAAGCGCTGTACTCATTGACCGTGTTTCTGCTAGGTGAAGTGTAACAAAAGAAATTAAAGATGTGGACCAGCAGGCATGTGATTGAGAGCTAGTGCTTGCAGCCTTGAAACTGTGGTCCTGTGTGTTCAGCCTCTGAGCTATTGAGGCAGAGAAGGCAGTGTTTCTCACCTGTTGTAAGACAGAAGACTTAGTTGTATGTATCACTTGGCACTCTAGCATGCCCAAGTGATAAATACAATACATACAGCATACACTGTACATACAGTCACCCATGCAGTGTGCACTCCGCTGTGGCCAAGACTTCACTGTAATCTGTGTGGCAGGTGGGAATCATGTAGCTGGCATGGGGCTGTAGAGACTGTTTGTTCAGACTGCCAGTAGCATTTCCTTCTTGCTCTCAGAAATCCCCTGTCAGTTATTTTAAAAGGGTGGTAGTCCATCATGGTAGCATCTGTGTCTCTGGGGAATGGCAGAGAAATCTCTGCTCTTCTGGGCTAGATCTGCTTCTTTTAAGGGAAGCTGTGAAACAGCTTTTCATGGAGTTGGAGGGGCTCACAATGTATCATTCAGCAGCATCCTTGCAAAGGTAAGAAAGGGCTTCTTTTGGTAGTTTAGTTCTTTTGGTGAGGCATGGGGTTCAGTCTCTTCCTGTACTCCATTGAAGGTGATGAGGAGGGAGAAAGCTGCTCCTAGCAAATTTTGTAAAGCAGCTGGAACCTGATGAGCACACCTAGACAAACCATTCCAAATGTGAATATCAGAATCTTGCTGCAGAAATAGTCACTTGTTGGGTGACTTTGGTGGGATGTAAAAAATGGTAGGGGTTAGTGCCCTGTCTTGAGTTCAGTGTCAAGCTTTGAACCAAGGTCCCAATTGATCCAGTGCTGCTCTTCTCTCTGAACAGACCCTTTCAGAACTAGAGTACCTCAATATGGCTTATAACTTCCTGTCCAAGGTGCCAAACCTTGGCATCTTCAGCAGATCCAAGCTGGTGACTCTGATCCTGCGCAACAATGAGCTTGACAGCATTAATGGTGAGCCCACAAAGGAGGAGCATTTCTGAATTTGAGACTTTTCTCTCTTCCTTCAGGAGGAACCAAACTTGAAAACTTGGGCACAGCTATTTTTACTAGAGTTCAATTTTGGGGAAAAGGGGTAGGTGGGATGTTCTTAAGTTATATCTTCTAGCATGCTGATGGCTTCCTGCTTTGTTTGCAGGGGTTGAACAGCTGGTGAATCTGCAGCACCTGGATGTGGCCTATAACCTGCTGCTGGAACATGCCCAGCTGGCACCATTGTCCACCCTGCACTATGTAAAAAAAGTAAGCAGAAAGCCTGATGGGTTGGTAGGTTATGGTTAGGGGGTGCAAGGTGGAGACTGTGTGGTAAGAAGAGAGTTTTGAAAGATCAATTCAACTCTTGAGCATTTAATTCAATGTGGGAAGCTTATGGGGGAGCCTTGAGAGACCCATTTCAGTCTTCATTTTGGGTGACCCCTGCTCAAGCTAAACTTTTTCCATATATTGATCCCTACCTTCTTGCTCCCCCTTTACAGTTTTACACTGTCGAGTAAAGATCCTCCTCTAATCCTTTGTGGAGTTTTGTGTTCAGAGAAGTCTGAAGGAGGGTAACTGCTGTCAGTATAGTGCTTGTGAGGAAAGACAGCCTGCAGAGGACTGTTCTCTCAACACTTCTCAGTCAGTACTGAAAAAGCTAATGATTTAGGGGCATGAGTAGGAAGTACTTTAATTTCCGTCTGTGTTTGTTAAACAAATTTCAGGAAGCATTGTAAAAGCTTAGTCCTCCCCTGGCTTGATCACTGTTCCGCTGCAAGAATATTTCCTGAGGCAAAGAGAAAGCCTGGAGCCTGCAGGCAGATTAGGTTGGGGTATAGAATATTGCTTCTCATGTCAATTTCTCTTTTTTCCTCTATCTAGCTACATTTAGAAGGAAACCCATTATGGTTCCATCAGAACCACCGATCTGCAACCCTTGTATATCTGTCCCCCCGGGCAGCCTCCTCCAATGTGAGTATTAGCCACGTGCCTTCTGTCCCTGCTGTTGAACGTATAGGGTGTTCTGACACTTGAGGGAAGATGAAGGGAAAGAATTTCATAAACATGAAAATTTATTCCAGTGGTGTAACAGTGGTGATTGTTCTGGGTTGTTTGTTTTTTTGGTTTTTTTTTTGTTTGGAATGGGATTGTTTTGGTTTTGGTGGGTTTTTTTTCAGGTAGTTTATCCTAGAATTTTTATGTGGTATGCTGGCCAGTGCAGACAAAGTTGAACACTGATCTCAGGTTTGCAAGACCTCAGATCTTAATACATCTTTTTGCTTCATCAGTTTTGCTTGCTGATGGTGCCAGAACTGTTCTCTGTTCCTGTCAGATAGTGACTATATAGCTGGACTTTGCAAAGAAGGGGACTCACTGTCCTGGACCACTTTACCTAATTACATACTCCTTTGGCAGCTGTGGCCGTCTCTTTCTTTCTCCCCATTACTCTGCTCTCAGCTAGGTGTCAACACTGTTTACCTTGCACTCTGGTGCTTAGGTCAGTTCTTCGTAATCTTATTTTAAGTAAAGAAGCCAGCAAAGACAGTGTTCTGGCAATTCAACAAAGTAAACTTGCTTGCTAAAGGTCAGAGGTGTTCCAGAGCTGATCTCCCTTCATATTAGTGTCAAATGGCTGGACTCATTGTCTTCAGTCTGCATCTTGGAACAAGATTTCACAAGCCTTTAAGTCACTTGGAAGCTAGGTAGACTCAGGCTAGAAGGAGGGAAGAAGCTTTGAGATGAAAGTGAGTACCACTCAAAACGATTTGTGAGTTGTTGTACAAAAATACATTGTATTGCTTCTGCAAACTTGAATATGTTTCTGTGAGTCGTAAAGTCTGTAAACATGAAACACAGTGATCCCTTCTGACCTCATATGCTATTAGATCAAGTAGCTACAACTAAAGAAGTGATTGATAGGAGGGAACAGGATTGTTTCTGGTAGCCTTTGCAGTTTTGTGCCAGGGATCTCAATCCTAGGGTTGCCTGAAGGGGAATATGAGTCAGCAGATGTTGTCCTGAGTATGTGCCAGCCAAAAGGAATCTGACTGCAAGTGCATCTCTAATTACAGTTCCTCTTGGATGGGGAGCCACTCTCTTCCTCGGACCTAATGGTAAGTACAATTGCTGTAAACTGATCTTACTGGCTTTGGGAGTGGGAACTCTAACAGGTTTTTGCACTGTTGTGTGTCCCATTAAATCTGTATGGGCTGCCTTGACTCTTTGACATAGTCCATTTTGGCTCCGTCCATGCTGATTGCTTGTAATTGAGACTGGCCATGGTAAGTTATTTTTCCTATGTAGCCTTGCAGAACTTGGAGCCTTGCCTGTTTCCTCTTTAGGTACTATCCGGTACTTGACACTTGAATTACATGTCAGCAAAGCAAACAGTTATTAGTTTTCCATCTGCCGTTTTTAAGAAATGCTGAGATTGAGTTAAATTAGAATCCAGTCAATGGGGAAAGTTTGAGGTGAGGGGCAGGAATGCTGTTAGCCTGAGTTGTGGTTTGGTTATCGTGTCTTCCCTTGCACTCAGCAGGCAGCATTCTCTTCTTTTGGCTTTAGCACCTTCCAAGACTTGTGCTAAGTGTGTCACAGTCCATCCACACTTCTACCTCAGAGAAGACCACGCTGGACCGCAGTGCTCTGGACAGTTCCTGTGCTGCAGACTTCAGTGACAGTCAGTCCCCAGCAGAGAATGTGGCTGTGAGGCTCCCTCGGAAGAAAAGCAAGGTCTGGGACTGAGACAGTTTCTTAATGATGCAGTTGGCGTGTTGGGTGAAGGGGCTGCCTTGATGTGGAAGCCCAGTGCACTGAGCTGTGGTCTTGTTCTGACTCTGTGGTAGTGCTGTGTGTTAGGAAGGGGCTGGGCTTAATGTCAGTCTTGTTATACTGTGATAAATGTTTCATGGTGTACTTCTGCACTGTAACAGCTATGAACCCTTGGCAGAGCCCTTCATCAGATGACATTTTGGTTGTTCTGGAGCCTCCAACTATTCTTATCCCATTTTTTCCAGGGAAAAGTCAAAGTGCGCAGAGCAAGCATTTCGGAACCCAGTGACACAGAACATGAGCCCCAGGCTTTATCTCTCTCTGCTGGTGAGGCTTGGCTTCTTCCTCGGTAACATAGCAATTGAGCTGCCCATAGAGGAGTGCTCTGGCATGGTGGCTGTTTTCATAATTCCCAGTTTTTTTCTCTGCAGGCCTGGTTCTACAGCATCAGAAGGAGATGAAGCGTTTGGACAGCTTCAGAGATCGCTTTGGTGTTGACTGGCTGCAGTACAAGAGACACCTGGAGGAGCATGACCAAGTACCTGTCATCTGCCGTAGTCGTTCTGCAGATGAGATCACAGGCAGACCTCCTGCAATGGACTTGCAGAATGAGAGCTCTGACCCAGAGCAAGTAAAATCCCAAGTAACCCAGAAAGAACCTTCTCTCCCTTTGGGTGGTACTGAGAAGGAGGAAGAGCATGAAGAACAGCTAGTTGAGCCTGTGGAAGAAGAACAGAGAGAAGAGGAGGCAGATGAGCTAATGCTTAGGGAGGAAGAAGAGGATAAGCCAGAAGGTAAACAGGTCCTTTCACTGCTATGTTTGGGTGATGACAGAATAGATGGATCAAATGTGACATCCCTGAAGCTTTATTATGATGTACAGTGGGAACTCTAATCACTTGGACTAAGCAGTCCTGAAGCCTGCTGTGTGTGCTAACCTGTACTGTGTCTTATTTGACAGTGGACCTTTGCCAGCCAGTGCTGGTGAGCCAGATAGAAGGTGAAGGGGACCCAGAGCCAGAGTGGATCTTCCTGCGAGTCACAGCTAAGCATGTGATTGAGGTGGAACTGAAGGCTGCCAGAGTCCTCCACAAGCTGGAGCTGAAATGCCTGCAGAAGGTGGAGACCTCTGAGATAAGCTGGAAGAGGATGGTGAGTTCTGTCTCTGTGTAAGCCTTTTGGCATTTTACTCCCTATATGAGCCAGCATTATGGATTTGGGCTTCTGTCAGAGTACCCTGCAAGTCTTTTCCTGGCTTGTGCAAAGCCTGATTATCTCTTCTACCCAATGCATCTATATTGCTTAAAGTACCTGTGATAATGCAGCATAAGCCAGCATCAATTCTGTCCCAAAGGTGGACTAAAAAAGACAATGTCCAGACTTGTTCCAGTGTGCAGGATTGAGAGACTTATCAAGAGGAGTCTAAATGAAATGTAGACCTCTTTCCAATTTATTCGTCACTGGGATATCACCATAGTCTTGGAGGACTGTGGATTGCACTTTTTCTTAGACAGTACAGCACTAAGCCTAGTGTGATGTTTAGAAAGCTACTGGACAGTTTTCCATTTGCTCTAGGTGCATTTTTTAACATCTGTTTAGCTTTTGTGGTTCCTATGAAAAGAGAAATCTCTTCTTCCTTGTGGTAGGATTGTAACATTCAATGTGCGCATGGACATGTTCACGTGCCTCTTTAATACTGTTTTACTCAAAAGTTTCCAGTTCATTTTTTTCCTTCCTGCCCTTGTATGTCTTATAGAATCATAGAATCATAGACTTGAATGTTTGTGGCTTGATGATCTTCTGAAATACCTCTGCAAAAGGGGGCTTTGTTTGAAATGCTTTATTCTCAGCACTAGTAAACTTTATTGTTTGTTTGTTTATTTATTTATTGGTTTGTCTGTGCCCATTTTACTGAGCTCCCAGATGCTATAAGCTATGGTGGGCTACTCAGGGCTTACTAAATTAAATGCATGTATGGTTATGTTTCAGCCAGTTTAAACAGATGTCTGTATACTGGAACTACAACCTCTTTCTAGAGCTGGTGTTTGCTGTCTCCTGCAGGACCTGGAGCGAGTTTTCCCTATCCTCACATTGCATTTCAGCTACATTCGCAAGGACCGGCAGAAGCGCAAGTATGTGGTGCTTGAGGACTGCCCAGAGCAATGCCTGCAGGTAGGGAAGGTAGAGGGGGAAGCCTGGGGAGGGCAGCAGTGTTACTAGAGGACACTGAATTCCTCCAGCCAGTGCGGGGCCCCTGTTCTGAGAATATGTGTGCATCCACTGCCCTGTGGCAGCTCATGTCTGGCTTGTTAGCTCAGGATTTCTTCTGCCACGTGTATGACCTGCAGAAGGCCCTGTGAGTATGGCCATTAGCTGTGGAGCTCCTGGAGCATAAATGATGCTCTTGGGGTGGGGGGAAATTAGTAGTCAAGTTAGTGATCATTGCTTGTTGTGCATGTGATGTTTCCCGAGTGCTGAGTGATACCTTAGCCTGTACTCGTCCCTCTGGACAGTGAGAGTTATGGCAGCTGTTATGGCAGAGAGTTATGGCAGAGTTATGGCAGGTCTGCACAGCTGCTTTAGGGACTCTGGTCTCAAACCCAACTACTTTTGTCAAGGTACTGTTGTTTAAGTACATTTAAACAAGTTGTTAGAGAGAAAGCACAAATAGATGGGACCTTTGAGACCAGAGTTCCAGGGAGAGCCCATCACTATGTAGCTACAAGGCATAGATCTGCAAAAACAGTTTTATCTTGGTCTTCTGCAGTGAAGCTCTGTACCCTTGGCAAGTCTTGCGCAGACTGGCTGTTGTACTCTGTTAGCTGGGAAATTGCTCTGTGCCCTTTGCACTCTAGAATGCTGTAAGGAGGCATGTGAGGAGGCTTGCTGATGTCAAAGGCTTGCTTTTATTAGGGTGGTTATAGCTGCCTACTAGCACTCTTTTCTCTGTGCATTTACTTTTAGTGTGTCCTTGAAGTGTTGTCCCCAGCTGTTGAGGAGAACCAGCGAAATCAGGACCAAGAGAAGGGCTCCATGAAGCTCCAGTGCCTAAAATGCAAGCAGGAGTTTTTGCAGTCCCTGGTTTCCTGGCATCAAGGTTCCTATCCTTCAGATGTTGAAGATGCTAAAATCCTGGAGACCCTAGTTGCCTCACATCAAGGTAGGATGTAGTGCCCAGAAAAATAATGCTTGCTGATGTCCAGGCAGACTGTGAGGATGGCCCCTGAGGTGTAGAGCACAGAGTGTATAGGACAGGGTGATAACTTGGCTGTACTGAAATTAAAACCTGTTATAGATGTACTTTCACTTGGCCCACTTGAACAGGGGAGAGCCTCCCTTGTTCACTTGCAGGAATAAGCCACTGTTTTAAGGTTAAGCAAACAGTGCATCTGTTGTGGGTGTCCTGCGGTCTGGGAGAACATAGGGGTACTGGAAAGTGCAAGGTGGTCCACAGAAACCTGAAGGCTGGGAGAAGCTTTAAACATCATGTTGTTTCTTGTCCTGTTGAAACTGTGGCCAATTCTGCCAAAAAGACTAACTTGTTCTGAAGGGCTTTTGCTAACAGAGCCTTCTAGGGAAGTCAGCTCCAGTATTTCAAGTAAAACTTTAGCTGTTGGACATCAGAAAACCACCTGGAACCCTAATCTATGTCTCCCTGGCTGTAATCTTAAGCCCACTCTTGCTTTCTTTATAGGGAATGATTTACTCCTCTTTTTTCTTTTTTCTTTTTTTTTTGGTGGTGGGTTTTGTTGGTTGTTTTTTTTTTTTGTACTTGGGGTCCATTGTTCTCCCCCCATGGCTAGTCCTGTCTTCTGTCCTCCAGACTAAATAAATTCACCTGCTTAGATTATGCGCTTGTCAGTCAATATCTCATACAATCCAGTTTTTATTGCTGGTCTCCTTTGTACTCTTTCCCATTTTTCTCTGGGTGTCTGAAACTAAATGTGGTTATTTTAGCTGAGGCATGGTTAGTGCTGAATAGACATCACCTGATTGCTGAATTTTTCAAAGTTCAGTTTATATTTGGAGTGGAGAGTGCCCAGTCTTAGCTCAGAAAATGCTGCTTGTTTGACAAAGTATCCTTGGATTAAAGGACTGCAGTTAGAGCAGAAGTGTTGTCCTTGCTGCAGCACTTTCCTCCACCCTGGAACACTTTCTCTTCCTGCACCAGGGTAATGGGAGTCCCAAAATCCAGCTGGGAGTCTGCTGTGATGTAGTTAAAGGGAGCATCAGGAATTGGGGTCAGGAAAATGAGAACATCTGGAGAAGGAACATGACAAGCCTGTGGTTTGGCTGGCTGAAGGATAAACTAAGCTGGTGTAAGGTGGCTGAGGAAGGCTGGTCATGAGCTCGGGCTTCAAGGGCTATGTGAGCACTTGTGCACATGAAGTGGAGGAAAGTCATGAGCCAAAGCCCTGATGTAGTTTTGACTGCAAGTACAGCACACACTGTAGCTGTGCTAACCAAAGCTGTTTCAGGTGGATGTTGGTACTGAGCCAGAATTTCTCATTGATTTGTGAGGGAATGTGTGTAGGATATGATTCTGAACAGAGTTGCTCAACCAGCTGCTCAAGCTGGTCTGTAACTATTGTCTGCTTTGAAAGGGATGGTTTCTGGTTGACAGATTAAATATATATATTAAAGAGTAAAATCTTATTAGGAGAGTTGTTCTGGTTTTAGTTTGTCCCTGACAACCTCCCACAGATGCTGCAGCAGCTGGTGCGTCCATAGTCTGTCCCAGTTGTTCCAGTGACCACGTGGTCATCCTGCCTTCAGAGGTATGCTCCAGCACACCTTTGCCACCTGGTCCCAATAGCATGAGTGAGGACCTGTCAGACTCTGTCCTGGAGGGAAGCAGCCAGCAGGATGGCCCAGAGGAAGCACCTGACCTGGCCAGTGAGAGTGGGAAGTTCTACATCAGCAGGGAGGACAGCTCGGAGACTGACACCAACAACAGCACCAGGACCCCAGAGCTGAGCAGCGAGCACGACGGCACTGTCCATTCCAGCTCCCGCAATTCAGATGGTGGCTACGGGAAGAAGGAGCTGGGTATGAAGAGCCAGGACTTGTCCTTCAGCCACACAGACGCCAATGCGGGCAGCTTGATGGGGAGCTACCGTTACAGTGTTTCTCGTGGGCCTACTCCTTCCCAGCTCTCTTTGAACTCTGAGTCTGAGGAAACATGGAATCTCAGTCCCTGTGAGTATGTAACTGTGCCGGGTTTAGGGGCGTGCACAGTCTGGTGCCAGTTTATCACTGGTGCTTGCAGGGTGCACTGCTGCCAGTTTAAGGGGTGGGGGGGTCATCAAGCATGAGCAGCACTGACCATGGGTCTTGTGAGCAGAGTTTTTTATTCCCAATTCTGTTCCTTCTTCATGCCTGAAGGTAGAGAAAAACTGAGTCAGCTCCACATCCCTAGTATTGCTCACTCTGAGTAATAGGGTCTTGTTCCAGGAGCTGCACTGCTCACTTACAAATACACTGGCTTCCTGTGGCACCAGTGAGCTGCCAACTGGAGCATTACCTTTGGAGAATAATATGCAGAATTCCTCTGCATTTATTCTCTGGCCTAAGTACTTTGTGAGGCTGGTGTTTTTATAGGAGGAGGTGGTTAGTGGATCTGTGGTTACTTGTGCTTTCCTCAGTGGTCTTTGTGAGCTTTGGATGGTAAAGCCTTTCCAAAGCAAAGATTGTGTGCTGGCTGTGTGAGGACTGTTGTGCAAGACAGCAGTTAGTAGGAGGTTTGCAAATGCATTATGGGAAGGACCTTGGATTTCTGGTGTATCAGACTGCCTTTGCTTGGGCATCAACTTCTGCTTTACAGAATAACTGAAATTGGGAAGGAGCTACAGAGGTTATCTGGTCCAGCTCACCAAGTGACTATACTGCAACTGCAGTCTAGTCCTGATTTGCAAAACCAATCAGCTTCTTGATCAGCCTTTCAAGACTGCTGTGCCTCTGAAGAGGAGTTGGTATAGGATCAGTATTTAGGTCTGCCATGTTCAGTCTCATACACTTGAAACGTGAGAAAAAAAGCAGTCTCTTGTTTCAGGACAAATCACAAGATTCCAATTAAAAACTGAGCCCGTGTAAAGGTTCCTGGTGAGGAGAAGTTGAGGAGTGTAGTTGGTGGGGAGCAGGCTCTGCTGGGAAGTACGTGCTCTCAGGCAGGATTGTGGCTACTGTATAAATTATTTTATCATACAATTGCATGACAAACCTAATTGTGTTCTTAATCAGTTTTATTGCTCTCTTCCTTAGTCTCCTTCATCTTTACCCCAGTCAAAGTCAGAGTTTAAAAAGCTGACCCGAGTTGACACCAGCTGAACTTAAAAATGTTTTTTTGGCTTTGTGATTAAGAATTGTCTGCCTGCCAAATCTGACAGCAGAGCAATGTCCTCCTGCAACTGAACAGTTGAGCAGAGGTTGAACAGGGCTTAGAACAAAGCTTTGCATAGCTGTAAAAGCAGGTTTTGGAGTAACAGGGTCCTCTCATGTCCCCACACTTAGATCTGGTGCCTGGAAATCCCTGGCTTTGGGCCTTTTTATAGAGACTTAATGGAAAGGGGGGGTGACACTGCTGCCCTGGTGTCAGTCTGCATGCTGGGGCAGCACCTGGTCAGTGGGTGGAGTGTCAGTCCTTCCCTTTGCCCTCCTCAGCTGTAAATGGCATCCTGAACATGAGGGACTTCCGTTCAGTGGATCATCGCCTGAAACTGTACTTGGACATGGAAGTTTTTGAGGAGAACTCCGAAGAGTTCCAGTGCTTCCTTAAGGTGAGCTCCCGGAGCACCACTCTTACAGCTCCTTGGCTGTCCTTTGTGCCACCCTGCAAGTTCTGCACTGGGGTGGCATCCCAGAGACTGTGGGGTGTGAAGGGAGATGAAGTGTGTTTGAGTCAGTCCTTTCCAAGGGTGGGCTGGCAAGGGGCAGGCCAGTGCTGTGACCCACCCCCTCTGTACTCTAGGTGGTCATGGTGAAGTTTGGCCGACAAGAAGAGTTCCTCTCAATCCTGGTTGCCTCTGATATCAAGATTTATGTGCTGGAAGTCACTGGGGCTATCAGGTGAGGCAAATGGTGGCAAGTGAGACCCTGCAGTAAGGCTGTGAGTGTTGGGTAGTGCCAGCCTGTGCTAGCCTTACCCTGGAGGTGTGGGGACATGCAAAGGCTCTTCTGGCAAACCTGCTGCAATCTGATGTGGGAGAGGAGATAGGATAGCCTGCTGCAGCTGAGGACTGTGCTCTGTGATTAGGGGACAACCTGCAGACTGGCTGAAGAAGAATGATTCTCACTACCTGTCTGATATTTCCCATCTGGAAGTGGGACTCTGCCACCAGAGCTTGCGAATGGAGTTTGAGAACCCCAAAGCCTCCTACAATCTGCTGATACGGAGCCAAAGCTGCTGTGACCAGTTCCTGCAGACCCTGACATGTAAGAGCAAAGCTATAGCGGGGGCACAGAGTGGGAAGAGGATTTGGAAGATCTGCTCATGGGAGAGCTGCCAGGAGAGCTGTAGTTTTTTGGGGTTGGAAATTTACTTCTTGCCATCTCAGAAAAATGTTTGGGGAGAGCCCTACTGGCGTCATAACTTCCAGTGCCTCTCTGTAAACTAGAGAACCATCCTGAGCTATTATGTACTGCCCTTGGGCTTGCAATAAAAGATGTCTACCTTCTCCCCCTCTTTAGATCTCCTGCAAGAGATGCCTGCTAAACGCAGGAGTAAGGTGAAGGAAATCCCCACTGTGGAAATGAATCCACATCATTGGCTATGGTAAGAAGAGTCTTTGAGAGGTTGTGGTTTTGGACGGAAGAGAATGTCTGCTTGTCCAGCAGTGCCTGGGAAGCTTCAAAACAGGGCAGCACAGGAGGAGGCACCAAGCCTACAGTACATTTTTAAGGCAGCTGGCTCAGGTGCCTGCTGCTCAGGGGGTGAGCAAGCAAAAGGGTGTCATGGACTGAGCCAAGCAAGGCAACTTCAGCTCTCCTGGAGGAGCCTGAGCATAATATGGAGAGAGGGAAAGGGGGAAGCTTTTCTTTCTTGACTTGCAAGAAGCATTTGGTTCCTGTCTGTCAAGGTGGTAGGAAGAGTGTAGGAGAAAGGAGTTGTACAACATCTGGAAGACAGGTCCCTCTCTTCCCCAATGGGACAAGGAACAGTAGCTAGCTCACAGCAAGCCTAGACTGGAAACAGAGTGCTCCCTTGATTGGCCCACTGTTGTATTTCCTCCAGGCCTCTGCTGGACTCCAAGACCACAAATTCTGCAGCTGCAAATGATACTTGTTTCTTCTACCTGCTGGCCTACCTGATCCAAGGTACAGGAGATCTCAGTGTTCAGGTGTCCCACACCTTGTGCTGTTTGCTTACATGCTTGCTTTTTTAGTGTACAGTCTGTTGGAAAAGAGCTGGGACATTGGTCCAGCAGCGAGATAGGGCAGGGGCATGGGTGAGGGCTCTTTTTAGTGTTGTGATGTCTTAGGGGAGTAGCATGTTTCTTCCTGCATGTCTGGTGAGTCTCCCAGCCCTTTTCTACATGGAAGTCCTGGCTCTAGGGAGCAGCTGGTCTTGCACACCAGGTTTGGTGACAACTCAGAACAGCTTCTGAGAAGCTTGAGATTATCTAAAGGCTGGATCATTGCCCTCAGCTGAGGGCAAGCTTGAAGAGTCATACACACAGCTGGCTTGTGTGGGGAGCTGAAAGGCTTCTCTGTTTGGAAAAACAGAAGCAGGTGTCCAGAACCCAAGGAAGTAGGACAGCAGCAGCCTGCTGGAGCCCATCAGGTTCTGTTCCAGGGCTTGCTGAGGGCCAGATGTGTTAAACCTGGGATCTGAGTATTCAGTGAACAATTCCAGTGTTCTCTTAGCCTGGGAGACTGAAAAAAAATCAATCTAGCTGTTAACCCCATTCTGACCAGTTTGTTACTGCTCTTGCACCCTTGTTTGCCATTGGTTATTGGGGAGGTACCAGAGAATGAGAACCAGAAGGAATCTGTGGGAAGTAGGCTTATTTCTCTCCTGAAGCTGAGCAAAGAGCCTTTGGAAGAGCTTAGTGTGTTTTTCTTCCTCTACAGTTTTCTTCTTGAGTATGGTGCCCAAAAACCGCATACAGTTCCAGCTGATGCCTCATTGCCAAATAGACAGAACTAGTTAAACATCCCATTTCTGATACTCCTACTAATTCCCAAGAGTGAGATGTAATGAGAAAAGCAACATGTTGCTATAGCAGATTGTGATCCCCTGTGACCTCAGACAGTTCTGCTAGTGGCTCCCTGTTTGTGTGCATCTGACTTATTCCCCAGTTCTAGTGCCTTCATTTGCGTCCACTGAAATCAACTGGATATTTATACTCCCGACAAAACTTCATTGCTTCCTGTCATGCTTATGACACATCCCAACTTGGTATTAAGCTTTGTGTGTGCTCTCTGTTCTAGCCATCACGTATCTGCAGCCAGACAAATTCAGAACAAAAAAAGGCAGCCTTTTAGCTGCCTAGAACTGCTGACTTTTAAGGAGTAATAAAGTATCATTTAAGAGGTCAAAAGACTCAAGTGTCTTTTCCTGCCTTACATGAGAACACAGGCTGAACAAGGCTTGCTGGGTGATGGTCTTTCACATGCATGCTCCTGCAATGAGCTTGGATAAGCCCAAGCAGCTCCTTGGATAAGCTGGTCAAACCCAGCCACGTTTAGCTACCTTTCTCCACCTCTTCAGTCAGGAAGTTGGATAAGGCTGTTCACCCAGTTACTGTTGCTGAAAAGGATTTCCCTAGGGGAGGAATGGAAAGCAAAGCTGGTTTTGTGGTGACTCAGGCTCTCAGCAAAGTATCTCCTATTCCCTCATAACCTTTTAGGGGCATCTGCTTTCCCTGTGACTCTGCTGAGCACCCGAAGCATGCTGTTTCTGCTGGAGGAGAATCACCAGTGGCAGGTGCAGCCCTGCTTGGATGAAGACCACAGGGCAGAAACGTCTCCTAGGAGCAACATTCAGTTGAAGGAGAAGCAGCCTATCAGCAGTATTAGCAATGTCATAACCTATCGTCTCTGTCCTTGTGACATCAAGCTGATGCTTTACGATGAGGTAACTGGGAGGGGATCATGGGGCACACAAGATGCTGGGGGCTGGATTGCGCTCCAGTCCTGTTCCTGCCAAAAGTAACTTGGGGCTGTTATCTTCCATCCTAACCTAGGGCCTTGCACCACAGAGGCAGGGGAGCACAGCGAACTCCTGTGTACAAAAGTCACACAGGGACATTTCCATGGCTGGTGGGAGAGATGGAGAATGTCACTTTGGAAGGAGCTGGCAGCTGCACTGGGGAATAGCAGCTCAGGGCTGATGATCGCCTTTCAGGCTAGGCCTTGCTCATTCTCCTCCTCTCTTTTATCTCTCCCAGGTGCTGAAGGTGGAGAGCACTTGGCACATCCGCACAGAGTGCCCTGAGCTGCTGGCAGACCTGGTGGAGTGGATCCGCAGGCCCTGGGAGGACATGTTCTCAATTGAGCTGCGGAAGGCTGTGTATGAGGGACTGGAGTGAGCTTGCTTGCTGTAGGCAGGCAAGACTTGGGAGTCCAGAGTGCTGCTGTGCTGGCAATGGTGCACAAGTGTCTCCCATCTGACTTTGCTGTCCTGTGGCCTCTGCTTTTTACTTTACTCTTGCCCCTGGGCCTTTCTGGTGAGGAGAAGGGGAGCACATGATGGTCCAGACTGCACAGTCACTCATTCGCACTGGGCTGGCCATGGAAGGAAGAGGTGGAGGGTGTTCCCTATAATACTGCATAAGCTACACAGAGTTTTAACTTGGCAGTGTCTGCTAGTCTCCTTCAGGGTCATATGGTGTGTCACTGAAGGAAGAGGGGAGCAAGACCAGAGCATCTTCAGTGGACATGCAGTGGTATTTGGCGAAGAGTAGGCCAGAGGCAGTTGGGGCCTGTGGCCTTTTTAGCAGGTTTATTTGCTGCCTTCCTAGCTGTCTTGGAACAGCTGCCATTATCTGTTGCTGGTATTCTTTTTCCTCCTGCCCACCCTCACCCCCCTTGTCCACTGCTTCCCTAAAACTGCTGGCTTCAAACAGGATCCTTGATTGCACAAGGGCATGAGCCATGTTGTCCTAATAACCCCACAGAGAGTCCTTACCTGCCTGCCTGCCTGCCAGGGCACAGCTCCATCTGCTACTGTAGTTTCTCACTGTCACTGGGGAGGAGGGAGCTATGAGGCTGTTAGCACAGAAATGTGTTGCTCATTGCTTAGGGGTCAGGACCCTGGGTGGGCACTGGCAGGTAAAAGTGAGGCTTAGGCTTTTCTGAGCAGTCCAAAAGCAGGAGTCTATTTTAACATGAATTTTACTATTTTCTATCTTAATAAAAGCTTATATTTATTGAATTGTCACAGTTTCCTTCTTTCATCCTCTTGCACTGCTGTAATGTCTTTGTAAGGTCTTGCTGCTTTGCAGCAGCCTCAAGGGTTCCCCAGCATCTTGCACAGTTCAAGCTGGCCTATCCCTCCTGTTCCAGGTGAGTGCTGATGGGCTGCTAGACTAATCTCTTCTACCTGCCTGGTTCCAAACAAGCAGCAAAGCAAGGAACAAAGCCCAAACAGAATTAGGCTGACAGCAGGCGCTGGTTGTGCTCTCCTGTGACAGCTGGCCTCAGGTAAGCATCTGGTGGGCTTCCAGCTGCAGCAAGTTGCTTGTTGGCCCTCAGAGGCATGCCTCTCACAGGAGCTGTTGTGGCTGTGGAAGTGAGAGTACCTGCCCCGTGGTTCTTCCCTGTACCAGGCTTTGCCTTGTCTCAATCTCTCCTGCAGAGAGTTAAGTGCAGCTCAGAAAATGCTGCCTTGCCTGGGCTTGCTGTGTTACAGGCTCTTCTGCACCCTCTGCAGTGAGAAATACTGGAGATACTATCTGGGGGGTTTTGATACAGCTGACTGGGGGGGTGAACGTGCATTAAGGTGCTGCCAGGTGGGGTATGATACACCAAGCAGGGACCTTTCCTTTTGGTGACTTCTGTGTTGTTGAGAATGTTCAATCCACAGTTTCAGGGCAAGTTTTCTGACCACTGAATTCTTAGTGACAAAACCTCTATTTTATGCTGAAGTGAACTTGATTTCTTTAAAGACATATTCATCATCAGTGACCTCATGCCTGTTTTCTTTGGATGCTGCAGCTATTTGCAGCAGTCTCTACAATATCCAGACTTTCTACCTACCCAAAGCTACCTTGTGGCTTCAGTTTCTGTCATCTAGAAAACAGCAGCGACTGGTTCCTGCAGCATCCTGCTGCTCCAGTCTCTGCTGGACAGATGAGATAAAGTTTCCCTCCCTGCTCAAACCCAGCTATGCCATCCAACCAGCTTTAGAAGAGTGAAAAGTTCGGTTTCCGTAGTTTGCAATGGTCTGAAGTATACACTGTTGGGTGCTTTCTTGGAATTGCTGTACTATTAGACTTTTCTCTTGCCATTTCCAGAAGTGGTTGAGTTGCTGAAGGCCTGCACTAGCTGGTATTTTTATCTAGCCTTCTATAGACTTGATTGACACAAACTGTACTGTCTCGAGGCAGATGTCATAACGCATTCCGCTTTCTCCCCTCTTCCTAAATGGGCATATGGCTGCTGCTCTCCATTCCTTTGGAGCGATCTCAGATCACAAGTGGGAGTGAGCTCAGTGGATGCATGGCCGGCACCTAGCATTCTGGCCAGGGAAAGGAGCTTGAGAGAGCTGAGCCTGTAAAGACCAGTAAGGTTTTTTGTCTTCATCTTGCCATTTAAGGAGCTTGTGTAAGTTCTGTCTTCAGCTGTAGCTGCATTTTTCACAAAGGCAAGAGTCAAAATTGGAGTTACTGGACCAGCTTGTTGACACCTCTTCTGAGAAAGCCCATCCTTGGACCTTACTTTTCCCATCTTAGCAGAGCTGCACTTTTGTTCTGCCACACCAGTGCCTGGCTGTGTGTTCAGGAGCCTAACAAAGTGCGGACTGCCAGAACCAAAGCTTTAAGCTGTGTGCCTGTCCATAGCTCTTCACTGGTTTTACTGCAGAAGGGATTACTCATTTGCTTCTGCTCCTTGCCGTGTCTCTGCAGGTCTTTGCTCTCAGCTCAGTGCTAGTCTCTTTGTCCCGTTAACAGCTCCCTGCTTTTCTGCATTCCTCTAGCTACTTCCCTGACAAGAAAGCTCGCACAGTACTGCCACAAACCCTCTCCTGCCTCTTCATGAAACACTTGCTTTGTTTTTCCTTAGGGTTTTTTTTTCCTGGTTACTAGTTTAACCCCTTTGTGGTTGCTCTGATCATGGACACTGCTGTGGGGCTCCTTGTAATAGATGACCTCATATCTGGCTTCATTGCATCAGCTGGGTGTGTTCAAGGGCTTCTCGAACAGACTCCAGGCAGCCCCAACCCATGGCTGTGCAAGAACAGGGGCTGTGTAGGAGAGCTGGGGTTTGCAGAAAGCTGTGACATCTGTTGAACCAGCTGCAAACGTCTTTTGCTTGTCACAGTTTATGTATGCAGTACTCCAGCTCTGCTCTTAAGACACTCTGGATTTTCCTCCTCTCTTCTCATTTTCTGGCTGCACTTGGCTCCAAAGCTTTACTGCTGTTTCACCGCAAGGCTGGTCTGAATGTCAATGTTTCCCTGCCTACGTCTGCCTGGAGCAGGCTCCTGTTGAAGTGTGTGGAGCTGGAGGGATGCCCAGGCCTGGGGTGATCATAGGGCTATGGAGACAGGCCACAGGCTTAAGCCCAGCCATGGAAGTTACCACCACTTTTTGACAGGTATATTCTAGCCTTGCCTTACTTTGCTGAACTCATCAATGAAAGTGATGCCTCAAGTCATGGGTTTGGCTATTTCAGTGCTTCCTACTCTCTTCCCCCGACCTCTAAAGCAGTACTGCCTTGAGCATACACAGCTTGTGGGTTAGCTGTCTGCCCCCTTGCACTATATCTAACAAAGCCTTGTTTCTAATCAAACTGTATGACTGAAGGGACTGGTCATTTACTGTAGCAGAATATCCCTGCTGGCCTCATTTCCAGGGGACTCAAGAAATAACAGCAAAGGGCACATGTTTCCTGCAGCTCATGGACCTGCCAGGCCAGCTTCCTCCCTCCTGCTGGTGCCAATGCTTCTTACCCAGCTTACAGAGCAATGGCCCAGGGCTGTGCAAGCCCATTCCCTGGGGGCTGCCCTCCAGCTTGGCTGGCAGGGGGAGAACAGCCAGTGCAGACTGGGCTCAAGTGCCTCATTAGGTACTAGGGTGCTGGCAGGTCAGCACCCAAGCACTGGGAAGGAGACCCACCTGAGCAGGAGGATGCCAGGTACCCCTCACTGTGCTGCATAACCAAGGAGGGGGGAAGAGGGGAGTAATGAAAGGGACTTTTTTTTGGAAGCCATCTCAGCCTGTGGTATAGGGGATGGTCACTGCCCTTTGTGCTCCTAGCATGGAACATGTGTCTGCCTGCTGTCGGGAGGTTATTAAGCTAGTTATGGAGCTTTGTATCAGGACAAACAGTCCCTAATAGAGCTGTCTGCTCCCTGTCCCAGTACCAGATGAGTTGTTTAATCTAGAAAGACTATGTGTGCTGCTGAGAAAGTGTGCTGCTCACAGCGCTGTCCGCCTGTGGCCCTGCTTGGGGAGGGTGGAGATGGCTTTCTCGCCCCTTTTCCATGCCCCCTCACAGCAAACATGCTTGGGGTGCCTGGCTCTGCCATCTGCCACTGTCCCTGGAAACAGAGGTAGTCATAACCAGGCCCAGCCCATCCTGCCCAATTAATCAGAGCAGGAACTGAGGCTGCTATCAACAGCCAGGCTGGGCCAAGCGCCCTCCCTGTCACGCTGTGTCTGGCAGACGAGGCAGGGTCCGGTGCTGGAGTCTCAAAGGGTGTCTCCATCACAGCGCTGTGGCTGAGCAATGAGGAAAGACTGCTTGCGGGAGCTCCTGCAGTGTCAAGCCTGAGCTGTAGCACTTGCCCCAGAAGTGGATGTTCTCTTTATCCCTGCACTTACACTCCCCCCCAGCCCCTGTCTCCTTGTTTCCTGGCTCCCCTCACTCTTGCCAGGCTGTGCAGCCACCCTGTCATTCTCCACACACTTGCTTCACCCTGGGCTTCAGACTTTGTGGCTTGCGGCTGATCCCAGTTTTTGTGGTTGGTGATGATCCTATTTCCTCTGCAGTGCTGGTCTCTGAGCTGGACCCCACAAGGCTGCTGGTCTTGCACACCTTCCTGCCAGGATGGGCCCAGACTCTTGTCAGTGACAGCTGATGTGGGAAGGGTTGAGGGTAGGCAACACCTTTCACCCACCGCCTTCTTTTCCTGGATGCTGTGGGTTTGCCTTCTGCCACTGGCTGGAAGATTAATGCCTCTGCAGGTTCTTGGGTGCTCCAAGCTCAAGATGAGGATGGAGCTCAGGAACACACAGGGCACCACTGCAGGGGAAATGGGAGGACTCTGATGTGAATGGCTGGATGCTGGCAAGGACAGTAATGCCTGTCCAAAGGGTTTCCAACACCAGTCTCTGGGCATGGCCTCCCCAGCCACGCTCTGTCCTGCAGCACAGGCATAAAACTGCTGCCACTGCAGCAGTGGTACTTGGCCCCAGCCCAAGAAGCAGCTTTGTTCTGGGTGCAACAGCCTCTGTTTGCAGTGCCTCAGCGGGTCACACTCCACAGTTTAACGTGAGGCCAGTGCTACAGGGGCTTGTTCTTCACATGCTGAGCACCAGAGTCAGAGCTTCACGTAGGTCCCTAACCCCTAGCAAGCTGCTCAGCCAGGCTGGAGGCAAGACCTGGGATTCCTTAAAAACTAATGGTGACTGTGGGGAAAGAAAACCCGAAGCTGCTTTAATGCCAGGCAAGACCAGGAGATTCAGCACAGGCTCTGTGTGGCCTGCCTGCTCCAGCCCACCGGGACTTAGCCCTTGTGCTGGCAGCTCCCTGCTCTGCTCCCTGCTCTCCATGCCACACTATGGGTGCCGCCTGGCTGCGGCCCCAGGTTCCCTCCTGAACACTTCCCAGGTTCCCTCCCTGTACACTTCACTGCATCCTTCCAAAAGCTTGAGTTTCTGTGCTCAGCTTGCTGTCTCCCTGCATCCACCTCCGCCTGTTGCTCCCGACCTGAGATGGAGACTGTGCTCAAGGGTGCACTGTGCCGTACTGTGTGTGAGCACCGAGCCTGTGCCCTAGCTGTGTGGGCATTACAGCAGCACCATGGTGGCTCTTGCTGACCTGGGGAAGCAGCAGGGCTGCTGATGCTCAATAGGCCCAGAATAACCAAACCCCATAGTGGATGTGGCAGCTGCACTTCCCACCCCTCTCCTTGCCTCAGCCACCCTGCCTCATCCCTCCTGAAGCCAGCCCCCAGTGCTAGGGTGGAGGTGCTGCACCCATCAGTGCCTGCTGGTGGAAACCCCTCTGCAGGAGGGAGCCCGTGTCTGTGGGGAGAAGCAGCATTTCTCGAGCTTATGCAGAAACCAGCTTCCCCCTGACTATAAGGGTTGCACAAGGCAGCCCAGTGTCCCTCCCCTGTCCCCACACCATGGTACAAGGACAGGGTGTTCTGCCCAGCAGGTCATGGCTGTGGTTGGCACTAGGGAAGCAGCCCTGACAAAACACCCCAGAGCCAATTTTAGCAGTGCAGAAAGTGGGTGGCCGGGCTGCCTGGCAGAGGGAGGGCCAGCCCACGGCTTCAGGGTGGTGACTCAAAGCCACCACGGGGAGAGCGGTGCTATTGCACAGGATGAGCAGTGGGAACTAAGGGCACATCTGGAGGTGCCGGGTGCTCAGCCTGCTCCCGCTGCAGGGCCTTGGCCAGGGGACACGAGGTGCACCACAGCCTTTGACAGATTTGAAGCACATTGCACCACACAGGCACATTGTGTTCCATGTTCGTATTCTCTCTGGGGCCACAACTCCCCAGCTCCTTGGTGTCACCGGGTCTCCCCTCCTCTACCGTCTCTCTTCACTGGGAGAGGAACAATTTGGTGTTACGAGAACCGGGGGGTTAGTGGGCAGGAGCGCAGGGTCTCTGCGTTCCCCCGCGGCCAGGCTCACCGCTGCTCCGTCGGAAGGTGCTGCTCATGCCTGAACACCCCGCGGGCTGGGCCAGGGCCCCGACCCTCCGTCCGCACTAACGGTTTAGAGCGTTCCGCTCCAGCGAGCTAGAAACCTCAGCTCTGCACTCGGTGGCACCGGGATCCCGGAAGCCAGCGAGCTCCCCGGGAGTGAAAGGTGGCGGGGGAACGCCGGCCCGCCGGGCACGGACCGGACCGCCGGGGCTCGGAGCCCGGCTCCTCGGGCGCCTCGGCATTTCGGGGGCTGCCTGGAGAGCGCGGATGGTTGCTGTTGATGTCGCCGACAGACGCGGTGCGAGTTTCGGCCGGGGTCGCCTCCTCCGCGGCCCGAGCCACGGGCGGGGACCACACTGGGGGCGGCAACGTCCTGCCCGGCGGCTATGTCACCCGCGGGGCCGGGGCCGGGGGCGGTCGGTGCTGGGCGGTCGGTGTGCACCGGCGGGCGGGCGCGGGGCGGGGCGGCGCCGGGCCCCTTTGTTCGGCGGGAGGCGGTGGCGCGCCGCCTCTCCGCTTTGTCCGCCGCTGCCGGCGGGAGCCGCTTGCCCCGGCGCGCTGTGAGTGGGGCCAGGGAGCGGGGGGCTGCGGGAGAGCGCGGGTCGGTGGGGCAGGGGCAGGCAGGTGGGCGGCGGTGCCCCAGGATGGGGAGCGGGAGCCCCGGGCATGGGCTGCGGCCGGCGGGGCTGGGGCCGCAAGCGGGGTGGGTCGGGAGGGCTGGGATCCCGGGCAGGCTGGGGTCAGCCAGCAGGGCAGGAGGCCCTCGGTGGGCTGGGCTCAGGGGGCTGCGGTCAGCGGGCCCCAGCGCGGGCTGGCCGCGGTCAGTGGGACGGAGGTCCCTGGGCTCGCAGTGCCCACGTGTGTGCTTTCACTTCCCCTGGGCTTAAGCTCCAGGAGTTGCCCTCCTGCCTGATCCGCTTGCCTTGTCCCCTGTCCCAGCCCATCACCCTGGGGCCAGGGCGGTGTGGTGCTGCCAGGCAAGAGCTAAAGGCAGACACAAAGCATCCACCATTCAGCAGGGTGGTGGGGGAGAGGGCCTCGCACCGGGGAGACCTTGCATTGTGCTTGACCACACGAGGATGGTGGCCCTGGTGGGCTGGGTTTGGGTCCGTGGTGCCAGCCCATGCCACCTCCTGCAGCTCAGCAGGTTCTGAGTGCCAGGCTATCAGCGAGAGCGTGTCACTTGCATGGGTGCTTTTGCTGGAAAGGCTTTTCCATTTGTGCAAGGTTGCTTGGGAGGGAGCTGACCTAAGCCAAAAAGATCTTGTTCTGGACAATAGTGGCGTGAGTGCAGCAGGAACCATCGTCCGCAGGGGTGTGCCCTGGTCAGAGGCAATGGGTCAGGGCAGGCAAGGCATGGGGGAGCTGGTGGCTCTGTGGGGACATGTCCCCTCTGCTCGCCCTGGGCAGCCCTGCCACCTGCTGCCCTTGCACTAGCTTGTGTGCAGGCTGCTTAAACCTGGCGTGACAGTGGGGTGTCTCCTCTTGCGTCTTCTTTCTATGGGAACTGTGATGTGGAACTTGTAATTTCCTCTCCAGCCTCTGGTGTCAGCTCCTTTGCTGGGACTTCGTGCAATTCCTTGGTTGCCCCACACTGCCCTTGCCATTTGCTCTCCTGTCTGCTGCTCTGCACAACCAGCCCTTGCCATCAGGCTGCAGGGTGCTACAGCACGGGCTTTGGGGGCTTGTAAGGATTTGGGCTGGGGGTCTGGCATGAGGGAGGGCACAGTACGGAGGTTTGGTGGGGCAGAGTGATGCCAGTCCTTGAGGGAGAGCTCTGCAGGTTGAAGACCTGCCATGTGGTAGGGGATGCTGCTCAGAGGGGCTGCCACTTGCTGCTTTCCTCCGGGGACCAGGAGGACCCCCAAGGGAGCATGTGGGTGCTGGCACAGTGTGCGGTACTGGCTGGGGACCTGCCCAGGACCAGGTGGCAAAAGGGTGCTGCAGACCAGGGGTGGAGGAGGTGGTTCCGGTTCCATCCCCTGCCTGTCCCCTCGCAGTGCCCAGCTGGCGCTGCCCCATGCTGCGTGTTTACCCTGGCTGTGGCTGTGCTGACTCTTCCCGCAGGTGTGCCCTGCAGGGACAGATGGTGTCCCAGCCTTGCCTCTGCTCCCTAGATCTTCACCCACCCAGCTGGTGAGAGGGCAGGAGCAGGATGTAGATGGGAGCACAGGGAGGCAATGCTGAGCAGGGGATATGATTCTGGGGTGATAGAGCCTTGGGTGACATAGTATAGGGTGAGGTGTCCCTGCCCATATCAGGGGGGTTGGGACTAGATGATCTTAAAGTCCCTTCCAGCCAAAACCATTCTGTGATTCTATGGCTGCTTTTGCAAGGCTGTGTTTGTGGATGTGTGGGTGAGGGAAGGGACACCAGTGGTAGGAGAGGGACAGAGCTGGGGTGGTGGCTGGTGTTTTGGGGGAACCTGGTGCAATGGACACGTATTTGCTCAATGCCTGTTTGCCTGCCTTACCCACAGGGTTTGAGACAACTGCCTGGCCAGGATGAGCTGGAGTTTCCTGACGCGGCTCTTGGAGGAGATCAACAACCACTCGACCTTTGTGGGCAAGATCTGGCTGACCGTCCTCATCGTCTTCCGCATTGTGCTGACGGCTGTGGGGGGCGAGTCCATCTACTATGATGAGCAGAGCAAGTTCGTCTGTAACACGCAGCAGCCGGGCTGCGAGAACGTCTGCTACGATGCCTTCGCCCCGCTCTCCCACGTCCGCTTCTGGATCTTCCAGATCATCATGGTGGCCACGCCATCAGTGCTCTACCTGGGCTTCGCTATGCACCGCATTGCCCGCATGCCTGAGTCCTCACGGCGCCGGGCACCGGCAGCCCAGCGGGCACGCATGCCGGTGGTGCGCCGGGGAGCCGGGCGGGACTACGAGGAGGCAGAGGATGATAACGAAGAAGACCCCATGATCTTTGAGGAGATTGAGGTGGAGAAGGAGAAGAGCCCAGAAGGTGGAGAGAAGCATGACGGCCGGCGCCGCATCAAGCAGGACGGGCTGATGCGTGCTTATGTCCTGCACTTGCTGTGCCGCTCGCTGCTGGAGATGGCTTTCCTCTTTGGCCAGTATCTGCTGTACCGCTTCGAGGTGATCCCCTCCTACATCTGCAACCGCAGCCCCTGCCCGCACACCGTTGACTGCTTTGTCTCCCGCCCCACAGAGAAGACCATCTTCCTCCTCATCATGTACGCCGTCAGCGGGCTCTGCCTCTTCCTCAACCTCTGTGAGCTCGTGCACCTGGGCGTGGGGCGCATCCGTGATGCCCTGAGCCAGCCTAATGCCCCCCCGCTCCCAGCTGGCGACAGCCCCGCTCCACAGTACCCCAGGAAAGCCCCTGGCGCACCCCCCACCTATCACTCACTGAAGAAGGAGCCGCCACGAGCACCGCTGCCCGATGCCAAGCTGGACTACCGGGAGGGCCTGGGGGCCGGGCGGTTCGCCCTGGCCAGGGCTCCCCCGGCGCACGAGCTGGACCGGCTGCGCGAGCACCTGCGCCTGGCACAGGAGCATTTAGAGGTCGCCTTCCACCTCCAGCCGCCACCGCGGCCCCCCAGCCCTGCCCGCAGCAGCAGCCCTGAGGCCAACGGCATCGCCGCCGAGCAGAACCGCCTCAACCTCGCCCATGAGAAGGGGACTGGCGCCTGCGACAGGACCACAGGTGAGCCAGGGACAGGGACCCATGCGGCCAGCTGGGGTGAGGGCCATAGGGGCTGCCCCCAGGGTCCCTGGGGAGGGGATGCCATTTCCCCCAGGGCGGCTGCTAACTTGCCTCTTGCTCCCCGCAGGGCTGTGAGTGCCACCAGGGATGGCCGCGGTATCTGCTGGAGTGGCTGCTGCTGCCAGCACAGGACAGACAGCCTGCCAGGAGCGCGGGGTGGAGGATGCTGTGTGCCTGCCCGGAGGGGCTGGCCGGGCAGCCCTGTACCGGTGGGCAGTGGAAGGGATGGGAGCCTTCGGGGACATTCCTACTCAACTTTCAAAAAGGGAATATCTTATTTTTGTACATTTCTATAAGCTTGTCAGCGTGTGTGCCCTGGCGTTTTTATACTCTGCCCATGATCTCTCTCTGGGCCTGTGCTCCCCTCCCTGTCTCCTGTTTCACCCCCTTTTCCTCCTCCTACCCACATTTCCTGCAGCATGTTCCCCTCACACCCTGTGCCCTCCCTTGCCTGCTGCTGGCCAGGGCTGTGCCTGTCAGGCCATGCTGGCAGCGTGGGGGCTTAGGGAAGCGAGCCTGTGCGTCTAGCTGGCTGTGCCAAGATGGGACAGGACACTGGGCTGGCATTCTGCTTGAAGCATAGGAGACAGAAGGGTCCTGGTGGCACCGCTGCTAGAAAGTGCTGGTGCATCCAGGGGGGCCGTGCTGCACAGCATCCTGCACAGGGCTGAGAGCTGCAGGGCTGGCCAGCTCAGAAATGTGTGTGCAGAGGGCAGGGGCTGTCCTCCCTGCTGCCTCCGCCTCTCTCCCCACTCAGCCAGCTGCTCTTGGACCAAAGCCCATGCCCTCCTGCTCTGGCCGTTGGGCCAGGACTCCCTGTGTGGGGCCAGACCCTGGTCCCATCGTGGGTAGATGCCATGTCCGGAGCCGGGCTCAGCTGGGAGCCAGTGGGGCATTTCTCATCATCTCAGCCTGGGTCACATGAGGATTTTTGTAGCGTTGTTTTTTACTAAGCAATGATTGCCACTCTGTTTTTTCTCCTTTTCTTTTTATATCTATATTAGTAAAGGCTGGAGATGTTTTGTACTGAACTGCTGCATCCGGTCCTTCGGGAGGAAGGGGTGGGAAGGGAATCCTGCACAGCTGGGCTGGGACCTCCCCGCTCACCCGGAGTGACTCAGTCGTTCCTGCCGTGTGTACAGAGGCAGTCACAGCTGGGGTAGCCTCCATCGGCCGGGTTCCTGCGTCATCCTGTCCCCAGCAAGAGGCCTGGTGATGGAATTCCCCATTCCTTCCCATCCTGCTGCAGCCCGGAGCAGAAGGGATGTTGCCCTGCCCGGGGGCTAGATCAAACCCAGCCATGCTATCCCACGCCAGTTGTGGCCAGCACATCCCAGTTCCCTCTTGGGGCCTCCTGGAAGGAGCTGGACACCTCTTGAAGCACTTGCCCATCCTCTCCCTCCTCCAGCCAAAAGCCCTCGGGGAGCTCACATCCCACTGTACATGCATTGCCCCTGTGTTTGCGTGTGATGGAAGCTGGCATTTCCAGGCTGTTTTGATGAAGGGAACAGGTTTATTTAATTCATTCTGTTAAGCTTTCCAACAGGCGCTGCTGCCAGGAAGAGGGCTTGCTTGCAGTGCTGCATGTGCCACCAGCCCTGCTGCGGGTTCAAGGCTGTGGCATGGGCTCACCCAGACACATCCCAGACTGTGCTGCAGCAGCCTGGCCCTGCCTGGGAGCATGGGGAGGCACTCTGCACGAGGAGTGGGACCACAGCCTGGGAAGGGGGAGGCAGTTGGTTGAGGAGAAAAGGTGGGGAGAAATAGTTTGAACTGGCTGCAGACAGCGTGGTGGCTTCTGACAGAGGCTGTGCCTGACCCTGCCCCACCATGCCCTAGCTTGCCCCAGGTCGGGACCAGCCCTGGGGCAGGTCTGGCAGCCCGACCATACCCAGGGCAGCCCAAAACTGCTGTGGCTTATGCAGGGGAGGGTGGCACAGCCCAAGCCCCACTGTCCCTCTGGTCCCCGTGGCATGAGGCAGGGCTCCCCTGAGCACTTGACTACCCCAGGCAGTATCTCAGTCCAGGGCTGGGCTGCGGGATGCCCTAGACGCAGGTGCAGTCCTGGGCCAGGATGTTGGGCACTGTCTCGTACTTGAAGGAGTACCCGCCGTCGGAGGTGGTGCGGACACGCAGGGAGCGCATGGTGCCAGGCAGGGCGGCGCAGCAGAGCTGCACACCCAGGCGGTGGCTCAGCCCGTGGCCTGCAGCGCAGCTCCCATGGCAGTAGTGGAAGACAAAGCTGCTGGGGTGCACGATCCAATTGTCCCAGCCCAGCTCCTCGAAGGAGATGTTGAGGGAAGCCCGGCGGCAGTTGGTATGGGCGGCCAGGTCCTCGGATGGACGCTGCAGAAGGCTCAGAGCAGCTGGGGACCAGGGCACGGCAGAGCGACGAGCTCTCTCACTGCCCTTGGCACGGGTGGTGGCCACCAAGAAGGGCATCTTGTCCTCCTCGGCCAGGCAGGGGCAGCCGGGGCAGCGCACCAGGAGCACAAAGAGCGGCTGCGAGAGCTGGGACAGCAGTGCTGGGGCAAAGTGGAACACGGTCCAGTGCTCGGGCGTCTGCTCCACCATGGCCGCCAGTGGCACACGGCCGTGCGGTGACAGGGTCAGCACATCGGGGGCTGAGTGGTTGGGAGCCGCCGAGGGGCCAGTGTAAAACCAGAGCTGGGCAGAGGTCATTGCACGGCTCAGAGTGTGTGCTGAGGGCTGGAAGAGGTAGGTGAAAATGCCTTCTTCCTCCAGCAGCTTGTCCGGCTGTGAGGGCTCGCAGGGCACATCTAGGTGGGGGGAAAAGGGAGAGGGAGAGAAGAAAGATGCTCAGGGTGTGCACCCAAACCTGGGGAGGGTCCCTGATGTTGGGTGGGAGGCAGGATATTGCAGAGGGTTGCTGGGGTGCTGGCAAGGCTTCCAGCTGCTGGCAAGGGCTGTTGCAGGGTGCAGGGGAGCTGATGACTAGGGCTATGCAGCAGCCACTGCACTGCACCCTGCAGCTGAGCCCTGCTGTGACTTAGGCTGGTCTATTGCTGCTGCCCCCATCCCCCAGCATCCTGCCCTGTCCCACAGCATTCTGCCCTGTCCCTTAGTATTCAATCCCATTTCCCTGCATCCTGACCCATTTCCTAGCATCCCACCCTGCCTACTCCTCACCCCTCCCCGTATCTCCGCATGCTGCCTGGACCAGCCATCCCCCAGCTTTTCAGCACCCTCTCGTGCCACCTGCCCCTTTCCCTGCCAGTGTCCTGGGCTGCTCTGCCTGTCCCACCTCCCATACCATGCCACCTTCTGGCTCTTTACCAAACCTCACCCATGCCCGTGCCCCAGCCTGCCATGCCCTCTTTCTCTTCTCCCACAGACCACCACAGCACGCCTTCTGTCCTCCTGCATCTGTGTTGCTCCAAGCCGCCACCCTGCTTCACCCCTCTGCCCTCTCCATCCCACCCAGATGTTCTCACCTGTGGAAGGGAAAAGGATAACCTGGGAGGTGTCCTCCAGCTCCTCCAGCTCAACTTCGGTGTTTTCAAGGACATCTCTTCGGTGCACTCTCCTTGCTTCCTTCTGGGGCTCCTCCTGGAGAACTGGGGGGCTCAGATGCTCCAGCACCTGAGCCCGCACCTTGGCCAGGATGAGCTGCCGGTCGGCACCAGCCCCAGTGCAGCTGGCCAGGGCAGCAGTGGGCAGCATGGCAGGCAGCAGGTGCAGGAGGAGCAGCATGACCGTGGGGTGCACGGCAGGCCGGTGGCTCGGGGGGCTCTGCCGCGGGCTCCTGCCTGCCTGCCCAGCCCGTCTGCCTGCTGTGCTCCCCCCGGGGCAGGGTGGCATTGAGACCTATCTGACACTGACGCAAACGTCTGCTCGCAGTATTATCTCTGGGCAGCGAAAGTGCTGAGACGTCTGGAATGCGAGGACTGCAAGGACAGTGTGGTCTGGGGGAGGACGGCGCCTGGGATGGGGGTGGATGCTGCTGGGGGGTGGTGGGTGTGTGGGGTGGGGGAGTCCAGGTTGTGGGCTGAGTGCTGCAGGGAAGGCTTTCCTGCACTGGTATGGGTGGAGGGGGCACCCTGGCAAGCATTGCTGGTGCTGGGTGCTGCCCATGGTGGAGGAGCTGCAGATTTGGAGCTTCTTAGGGAAGAGTGGGAGGTAACAGCGGTTGTACCCAGCAAGGACATCTGGGCAAGGGCTTGGTGGGGTACAGAGCCCTGCGAGGCCCTGGCCAGGGACAGCATGTGAGGGGTGGCAGGCTGGGCAAACCCTGCCAGGGATGGCTGGGACACCCCAGGCTCACCGGGCAGTGGGGTTCTGAGGATAGGGTCCTAATGACAGTGTGGGGAAGGGGCTGTGGCATCTACAGGGCAGCCTGAAGGCAGGCAAGTTCCTGAGGACATGAAGCAGGAGGGATGGCAAGAGGTCCCCACACTGCCCAGGGGAAGGATGCAACAGCTTCATGGGGAGGAGGAGGAGATGAGGCAGAGCCAGGCCTGCTGGAGACCCCACAGCAGTGCCAAGAGAAGGACCCTGGAGTGCTGTTTGGGCTGGCCAGCCATGGGCTGGCTCCTGGGGTGGGAGCTGCAGGAGGGGCACAGGCTGTAAGAGGACACAGCAAGTCCTGCCCTTCCTCCTGCTGCTGCCTGTGGTGCATCCCACATCCAGCATCCCTTCCTGCCCTGTGAGGTGGTGGGCATCCTCTGTACCCCCTCCACTCCTCCTGCAGCCCCGCATCCCGCATAGCACGGCTTGTAAGGCACATTCCTCTCCTGCAGCCTGGCATCTCATGCAGCATCCAGTGTGATACACCCCATCCCCCCCACTCAGCATATCCTGCATGGCAGCTTCCATCCCACTGCTGCCTGCTGTCCCATGCCATGCACCCCACACCACGCCACGCACCTGCACAGCACATTGCTTCCTGCCTCAGACTGACCCAGCACCGCGGCACTGCTGTGTTTATGGCACCCCTGATCTCTGGAGGCCGGGAGCTCCTGCTGGGCTGCTATACATAGGTAGGCCAGCCCTGCCCCAGCAAGGCTCTGAATGGAGCAGGCTCAGTCTTATCAACCCAGCATGTCATCAGAGAGTATTTTTGGGGACAGCAGCTGCAGGCATTTGTAACGTTTGGTCCCTGTGTGCTGACACCCGGGAGCAGAGCTGGGGAAGCAGCAGGAGCTCGGTGCTGGCACTGGGAGACGCTGGGAGAGGCAGCAAAGCGAGGTGTGTGTTTGGGGCAGGGAACTGGGCTGTGGGGCTGTGTGGGGCAGGGTGATCAGGGAAGGGACCAAGTGGGGTGGCCAAGCCATCAGGGCTGTGAGCTGCCATGAGGTCAGGGACCGTGTGCCAGGGGATGGCCCTGGTCCTTGCCACTCCTTGGGAATCAGCCCTGTGCCACCGTCCCCTCTGGCTCGTTCAGGGATCATTTCAGTTTCTCTTCCCCCTGCCTGAGGGAGGCAGAGACGCCCCTGCCGCAGCCCGGGCCGTGCTGTGGGCAGAGGTCGGGGTGCACTCGCCCAAGGGAGGCACGGAACAACCCTGCCTGCCCCTGCCTGTGACGCTGAGCAGTTACCCGCAGTGCTGGGGTGGTGCTCCCCAGCCTTCCCTCTCTCCCTGGGGCTGATGATCTCCAGCCGTGCCTTTCCATACCAAGGGCAGGATCCTGCAGGATCCTACAGGATCTGGAGGGGGATCTGCTCCAGGAGGAGCTTCACTTTGCCCCCCCCGCCAGGGCCCTGCGGGGTGACCCCTCCGAGCCCAGGCCCGGCCGGTGCCGCCCGCCCACCCGCGGCAGCCCCGTATCAGCACCTGGCTGCAGAGCCAGCCCAGATGCTGCAGGAATGCGGCTCTGCCACCACCCGATACTGCAGGAATGCCCCGCGGGTGGGGAAGGGGCGGGCGGGAGCCGTCCTGCCTCCGCCGTTCCCCCTCCCCAGCACCCGCAAGCAGCTGCTTGTGTCCGGACCTGGGGTCCCTTCTGCCACCCTGGGGCAGGCTGTGGGTGCCCTGGCCCCTCAGGGTGCTAAGATCTGCCTTTTGCCACCTCTTCCATTGGACTGGGATGGAGGATGAGCGACTTGGGCTGAGACAGGAGGATATCCAGTGGGGCTGGGGTGCTCAGAGACAGCGCCATGCTCATGTGACCAGGCACAGCTCCTTCTTGATGGTGCTCTACAGTGCTCCGATACTGAAGCTCGAACCCCTCACCATGGTCGGTCTGTGCATCCCCCCCAGGCTAATGATCCACGCTGCTGCTCCGGCCAGCTGCCTGCAGTGACACTGAGGAGGTGGTGATGGAGGGGTTCGAGGGAGCCCCCAGGTTCCTGGCCTACCCACGTGCCTTCATGGTGCAAAGTGGCACCGATGCAGTACTGAGCTGCCAGATCACGGGCGACCCCCGCCCGAGCATCCTCTGGGAGAAGGACAAGATCCCAATTGAGCCCTCAGGCCGCTTTCATGTGGAGGCAAAGGGGGACCTGTACAGTCTGCTGGTGTCCCGTGCCACCCCCCAGGACAGTGGGCTTTATGTGTGCAAGGCCAAGAACAGCGTTGGCGAGACCTATGCTGCTGCCACACTCAAGGTGGAGGTGGGAGAGCCCCGAGAGGAGGAGGGATGCTTGGATGGTGAAGCACCTGCCTTCCTCGTTGCCCCCTCGTCCATACGTGCGTGCCGGGGAGAGGACGTGATGTTCACCTGCAGGGTGTCTGGGCAGCTGTGCCCAGTGGTGCAGTGGGAGAAGGACGGTCACAAGCTGTCTGACCTCTTTGAGAGCAGCCACTTCGCCGTGGGGCAGGAGCCTGAGGACTGGCACTTCCTGAAGCTGTTTGGCGTGCGGCCCCCTGATGGGGGGGTGTATGTGTGCCGGGCACGCAGCGGCTCCCGGGAGGCCCTGGCAGCTGCTGTGCTCCTGGTGGAAGCCCAGGCACTGCCAGACAGGCTCCCCAGTGGCTCTCCTGATGATGGCCCTGAGATGCTAGGAGAGCGGCAGCAGCGGCGGCGGCATGCAGCAGGACAGTGCATGAGACCAGAGACATGGGTGCCCAATGGCACAGTCCCAGCCAGGGTGCCAGGGGCTAAGGCATTCACTGTGAGCGCAGGAAAGCACGCCAAGTTTCGCTGCTACGTTACTGGCAAGCCCAAGCCAGAGATCATCTGGCAGAAGGACGGTGAGCCCCTCACCCCTGGCCGAAGGCACCTCATCTATGAGGACCGGGAGGGCTACTTCATCCTCAAGGTGCTGTACTGCAAACCCCAGGACCAGGGGCTGTATGTTTGCACTGCATCCAACACTGCCGGCCAGACCCTCAGCGCAGTGCAGCTCCAGGTGAAAGGTAGGAGATCATCCAAGAGTTGCTGGGTGCTGGGGTGGTCCAGGGCTTTTCACCTGGCAGGGCTGCACCTGAGTGTGAACCCAGCAACCCTGGGCTCCCTCCTGCCCCATGCACCTGGGGTCACCCCAGGCTCCTCCTGAGGGAGCTGCAGGCTGGAAGCCGTGGATGCTGGGCTCCCATGGGGTGTGTTCCCCTTGTGCCTCTCTCCTTGCAAACAGAGAGGTGGCATCTCTGGAGGGCTGCGGCTGTCCAGCCACAAGCGGGGTGGTGGGGATAGTGCCTTGGTGACAAATTCCCTTGGAAGTGCTGAGTGGTTTTGGCAGCCGGCCCTGCAGGGCACAGCTCCAAGTGTCTGAGCTGGCAGCAGCCCCAGCCCCTGGAGCTGCCCTAGCAGCTGGGGACAGCCCACAACTGGGGTGACCCAGCTCCTGGTACATCCCCTGCCATCCCCACTGCTGCCCTCCACTGAGATGCCTGCCACAGTATGCTGGCATACATGCTCCTGTGTCCCTAAAAAGTCCCTGCTGAGATGCTGGTGGCACCACTGAGTCTCCCAGCCCATTCCCTCATTCCCCTCTCTCTGAGGGGTATGCTTCTTGGTGCAGTGTCTATCCCATACAGGCCAAAGAGGAGGAGAGCAGAGAAGGGCCAAGGGCTTGGTGCTCTGTGTGAGCTGGAAAATACTGAGCACAGGGCTGCTGGTGGGTGCTGTACCCTGTGCACCCTCAGCACCCGTCTCTCCTGGCAGCAGAGCACCGGCTGCAGTTCCAGGTGCAGCTGGCAGATGTGGAGGTGGTGGAGAGGGAGGATGCTGTGCTGGAGTGCCAGGTGCCACTGGAGACCATCCCCACCGCCTGGTACCTGGAGGACAGGGAGCTGCAGCCCAGCCACAAGTATGTGATGGAGGAGCAAGGCGTAGTGCGGCGTCTGACCATCCGTGATGCCCGCACTGATGACGATGGCATCTACCTCTGCCAGATGAAGGACAAGGGGCGCAGCATTGCTGAGGTCTCTGTCCGAGGTGGGCATCAGCTTGCCTTGTGGTATGGCTTTGTTGTCCTGTCTCTCTCCTTGCCAGGGTCCCCACTGCCCCCCACGTCTGCCTTCCCTCCATTTGACCATGGTGCCTGCTGCTGCTGCTGCTCCTCAGCCTCCTTCTCTCTCCCACCCTGGGGAGCCCTTCCTCCCAAGGGATGATCCACAGCATCCCTCCCCAAGCCCTTATGCATCTCTCCCCATAGGGGTAATTGTGAAGCGGCTGCCACGGAAGCTGGACGTGATGGAGGGGGAGAATGCAGTTTTCTGTGTGGAGACACGGGAGGCAGTGGAGGGTACCTGCTGGCGCCGGGATGGGCTGCAGCTGCGGGAGTCCCCCTGCACCGTGCTGAAGAGCTTTGGCAGGACGCACCTCCTGGTCCTGGTGCATGTCACCCGCCAGGACGCGGGCATCATCTCCTTCTCTGTTGGAGAGTCACAGACATCCTCCCAGCTCCGGGTCAAGTGTAAGCCCCAGACTCGGAGGGTTCCTACATCCACCATTCTGCCCATTCATGGAAAGGGTTGATGTGGAGGAGAGGCGGGTATGGGCACCCAGTATGGTGGGGACATGACACTGTGATGGCTTTTTGGGGAAATGGTATTTTAGCAGGGGTCCAAGGCCCTAACCCTCCAGGGCACTTACAAACCCATGTAACCAACACTATGCTACACGGGAGCAACACTATCCTCTCCATCAGAGGGAGGATCCCCAGAGAAACATGCTGTATACCCCCCTTAAGCCTTTCTGACACCCCTCCCGGAGCCTTACTGCTGTCCCCAAGCAGGCAACGGGGGCTGTGCCTTGCAGGTGTGAAGCGTGACCCCCCGAGCGCACCGGTGGCAGCTGAGATGAGCGTGGTGGAGAGCAACACAGCCCTGCTGACTTGGTGTCCTGCACCCGATGCCCACCTCCGTGCCCCCAGCCGCTACCTGCTGGAGCGTCGGGAGGCGCTGGGAGGCGAGTGGGTGCAGTGCCTTGCCACCGACCTGCCCAGCCATGTGCGGGTGCTGGGGGACAGCGTACCCCGCGAGGCCGACTACTGCTTCCGCATCTGTGCTGCCAATAAGCACGGCAGGAGCAGCCCTGTGGAGTTTCCTGGCTCCGTGCATCTCGGTGAGGATGCCAAGCCAAAGACTCCCACCTGGGAGCTAGCTTTCCCCAGGGGCCAGCCAGGATGTTGTGCCATGGCATGCTGCTGGCCAGTCCTGAGTCTGGCTGTGCTCAGCCCCTGCAGCTCGCCTGGAGAGGGGTCTGCAGGATGCGTGGGTGAGGGACGGCGAGGATGCGTGGTTCTCCCTGGAGCTGTCAGCTGCAGTGCATGGCACCTGGTTCCTCAACGGTGCCAGGCTGTGCGAGGAGAAGGAGGAGGCAGGCGGCCGGTGCAGTGTGCGGTGCCACGGGATGGAGCACTCGCTGCTGATCCGGGGAGTGCAGCAGGCTGATAGCGGGGCTCAGGTCACCTTTGTGTCCGGCAGTGTGCGGGACTCGGCCACATTGCATGTGCACGGTGAGAAGGGTGCTCACCCTGGGGGTCCTGCTGGGAGAAGAGCACCAGCAGCTCTCATGCTGGAGGATATGAGGATGCTTCTTATCCCTTTGTCTTGTCTCTCAGCCCCACAGGTCCGCATCGCACCAGTGCCCGAGGCTGAGCGGCTCCGGGAGGTGCTGACGGGGCTGCCAGTGCTTCTGGAGTGCCAGGTGTCCCCCCCTGATGCTCCCGTTGCCTGGCTGAAGGATGGTGAAGCCGTGCCCCTGGATGACGTTATTGCAGTACAGGCAGAGGGCTGTGTGCGGAGGCTGCTGCTCCGCTCGGCGGGTCCCTCGGACGCTGGCGTGTACACCTGTGATGCTGGGGATGATGCCATGAGCTTTGTGGTGACCGTGACCGGTGAGCTGGGGGCTGCGTGCAGGAGCCTGGACTCCACCTCCTGACAGTGCTCCTGCCCCTCATCTTGCCCCCATGATGGAGCTGAAAGCTGCTGTCAGGTGCCTATGCTGAGCCCTGCGTTATCCCTGGCAGCAGCACCAGTGAAAATTGTCAGCTCCAACGAGGACGCTCCCCATGCCTACACGATCGGGCAGCGTGTGGAGCTGTGGTGCCAGCTCTCCCGCCCGGCGGCCCCGGTGCACTGGTACAAGGATGGGGAGGAGGTAGAGGCAGGCGAGAACCTGGTGCTGGAACAGGAGGGGCCGCTGTGCCGGCTTGTGCTGCCCAGTGCCCAGCCACAGGACACGGGGGAGTTCGTCTGCGATGCCGGCGGGGACTCTGTCTTCTACACCATCACCGTGGCAGGTGGGTGTGATGCAGGAGGGCTGGCAGGGTCACATCTTGGGGTGCTTTCTTTGGCGTTGCAGGGTGCCACAGCACGTGTTCCTCTCAGTGTTCCTGTCATTTGCTGCTCTGGGGAGTCTCATCAGAGATGCTTTGCCACGTTCTCAGCTCCAGGTCAGTCAGGGTCTTTGCAGCAGCTGTGATGCACAAAGCCACACAGACTGACTGTCAAAGGGGACAGCTCACTCTGACAGTCAGAAGTTCTCAAGCACCCAAGGGCACCGGCACCTCCATGCCAGTGTGTTTGCTGGACTTCTGCCACAGCCAGTAACCAAGTCCTCCTTTGAGGTCCTAAATATCATGGGATTGGCACTTGGCGTGGGGTGACTTGCGGTCTGACATCTCTCTGATGGACAGCGTTAATTGCTGACCTGAAAATCAGTGGTTGCCTGGATGCTGAACATTGGGTGGTGGTTACTGGGTGCGAGCAGGGGGTGGCTCCCACAGTGGCTGCCCCAGCCACAGAACAGGGAGGCAGAGGATAATGAAAGCTGAAAGTGAGTGAAAGACTTCTTGTCGCTGGCCCCAAAACGCACAGTCCCACAACCACAGGAAGGCAACCAGGGCAGACTTAAAGCCCAGTTAAAAGCTTCTGTGACCATGGTGGTAAAGCCTGTCCACGGTGCTAACATGTGACAAAGGGCCAAAGCTGATATCAGAGGATGGCATGAAGATAGGATGACCAATAAGAGATTCTGGAAGAGCCAGTGAAGTGGTGACTGGTGGAAGGGTGAAGAAAGGACGTTATTTACTGTGATAAAGGCAAAACCACCACTGCCAGACAGGCAGTGTGGGCTTTGGGTAGAGGCAGGAGGCATCGTCTGCCCTGTGATGGTGCGTGTCATGGAGAGCTTGGCTTCCCTCAGCTGGGAGAGGGGAGCACCATCTGCTGAACCTCAGCAGCTTTGTGTTACTTGGGCAGGAGGGTCCTAGAGAGGCTGGCTTGGTTCAATCAGGATTTGGCCATCAGTCTCACTGGCAGGGCTGGGGGTGGGTGCCAGGAGGCTCAGGCTGGTAACTCTCTGGCACGTGCGCTGGGCTGGCTGCTGCAGTCAGCGCTGCTGTGGCACGCTTGGATTTCCCCAAGGCATCCCAGCTATCCCCTGCCGGCTGCTGCCTCCAGCCTGGCTACCCCTGTGTGCCTCTGGGTCTTCCAGCAGCTGCCAAAGCACTAGGGCTGCCTCAGAGCTGGCGGTGGGACTGGAGCAGCACTGCCCACTGAGGGCTGGCACACTGCCCCTGCCTTGTTTTGGTGCCGTCCAACATCTCCAGCAGGACTTCAGTGATGTGATTGCTTTTAGCAGGCCCAGGGGGACAAGAAACTGCCGAGTGTTTGATCAGGGAGGCAGGCGGATGCAGGCTCAGTGTGGTGCAGGTTGAACGCTGCACACTGGTGCTGTGCCAGTTGTGTGCTGCAGGGCTGCAGTGCTCTGCTGAGCCTGGGTATTGTGGCTGGAAACTGGCTGGGAAGTTTGAAGCCAGGACACCCAGCCCGAGGGGCAGCTGTGGGCCGTGGGAAGGGCAAATTGGTGCTCAACCGGTTTGTGGTGCTCCATCAATTGGTGCTCAACCAATTTGTCTGCTGTGTGCCAAGTGTGCCCTGTGCCAACCCAGGGTCACAGGCTGGCTGAGCACCACAGTAGAGTCCAGGACAGCTACAGCCTGCTACAACACATGTGGCCGTGTAGTGTTGGCTGCTGCAGGCAGAGGCCACATCCTGGCCACCTCCCAGGAGAGAGGAGGACTGGTCACCTAGAACTTGTGCTGGGAACCCCTCTGCCTTTAGAGATCCAGCTCAAGTCTGCTTGGAGATGTGACACACATTTTGTGCGCAACCCAATAATGGTGGCATTTAGTGAGCACCGTGGTCTGGCATGGGGTCCTCTGTCCCAGTGAGGTGGAAGGATGGGGCTGCTGAATGCAAGCAAGCCACATGTCAGTGCCACAGTGTCAGCAAATGCCAAGGCTGAGCTGAGACAGAAGCTGGAACCTGTTAGCCTCCAAAACAGGGAAACAGGCAGAAGGGTGGGCCCCCCCGGTACGGCACCACAGGGGCTGGTGCTAGCACCACAGATGGCAAGTAGCAGTGTTGGGGCTTGCTAACAAGGTGTTCGCCTACCTGCATACTCTCTTTACATCCCTCAGCTCTGTCCCAGGGCAGAGCAGTTCAGGTACCATGACAGCGAGGGCATAGCAAAGATTTACAGTCACCTGAAAGCTCTGTGCTCCTCCTGGCCGTGATGGGTGAAGAGGGAGCCCCAGTCAGGGCAGCCCAGCTGCTTGTGCTATGTGGGACATAAATGAGGTGGTGCCTTCTGGCTTTAAAGGCAATGAGCTGATAAAGGCATCACACCACACAGGGCTGGGACTGGAAGCACCACTGGCTCTGGCCTTTATATCCTGGCTGAGCCCCACGTCTCTCCCTGGCAGCAGCACCAGTGAAGATCATCAGCTCCAACGAGGACAACCCCCATGCCTACGTGGCCGGGCAGCGTGTGGAGCTGTGGTGCCGGCTGTCCCGTCCAGCAGCCCTGGTGCACTGGTACAAGGATGGGGAGGAGGTGGAGGCGGGTGAGAACCTGGTGCTGGAGCAGGAGGGGCCGCTGTGCCGGCTTGTGCTGCCCAGTGCCCAGCCACAGGACACAGGGGAGTTTGTCTGCGATGCCGGCGGGGACTCTGTCTTCTACACCATCACTGTGGCAGGTGGGTGTGATGCACAGCTATGGCCCTTTCCACCTTCTCCTTCTGCCCCAGCCCCCTCTGCTCACAGTACTGTCCCTCCAGTGGCTGTAGCATCTTATCTGTCCCTCACCTCCTTGTGAGCAGCTCTTTACTGGTGCCCTTGGGCTGGAGGTGGATATGGTCAAGGGGCTGGTCAGCTGCTCTGTCTCCTGGAACCCTGCCTATCCCCACGCCAGGGCACAGCCACACTGCCCTTCCATGGGTTATGCCACTTCACGTCCCAGCCCTGGTGCTCCCTCACCTTTCAGCTACCAGTGCTGCAGGGCTGGGATCACACTGGCCACTGGCCCTGGGGCAGGTAGGATGGAGGTCATGTGGCACAGGGTCTTGGTTCTCTTAGCCCCACAGGTTTGCATTGCCCCAGTGCCCGAGGCACAGCAGCTGCAGGAGGTGCTGGCAGGGCTGCCTGTGCTGCTGGAATGCCAGGTGTCCCCCACAGATGCCCCTGTCCACTGGCTGAAGGACGGCAAGGCTGTGCTCCCAACTGGTGTCCTGGCCATCCACTCAGAGGGATGCTCGCGGAGGCTGCACATCTCCACAGCCATGCCATCCGACTCAGGGATGTACACCTGCAATGCTGGGGATGATGCTGCCAGCTTCAGGGTGACTGTGAGAGGTGAGCTGCCTGGGGAGTGCGTGTTCTCATGTGGGGCTCACCCAGCACTGTGGCTGAGCCCCTCCATGTGTCTCCCAGCAGAAGCACTGGTGAGGATCATCAGCTCCAACAAGGACGCTCCCCATGCCTACATGGCAGGGCAGCGTGTGGAACTCTGGTGCAGGCTGTCCCACCCGGCGGCCCTGGTGCACTGGTACAAGGATGGGGAGGAGGTGGAGGCAGGCGAGAACCTGGTGCTGGAGCAGGAGGGGCCGCTGTGCCGGCTTGTGCTGCCCAGTGCCCGGCCACAGGACACGGGGAACTTCATCTGTGATGCTGGGGATGCGTCTGTTTCCTACCACGTCTCAGTGGCAGGTTGGTGGCACAGCAGAGATGTCCTGGTGAGGGAAACACTGCCCTGGCTCTGTGCTGTGGGGTCGCAGCCCTGATCCCTGCCCTCAGCATCGCAGAGGATGGGGTGTGGCTGCCTTACCCAGGGACTGGTGGGTGCCCCCCTTCTGCTGTGATGGGTTCACACTGTGGGCCCACTGTGTCTTCAGACAGCTCCTGCCCCTTTGCACCGGGGTGGGAGGCTGTAGCATCCCCTCAGCCCTACAAAGACACAAATGACGGTAAGTAGGGACAACAGAACCAGTGAGCAGGTCTCACACCCTTCCTCCACATCCCCGGCAGAGCCACCAGTGAGGATCCTGCACCCCCTGCAGCGCTCACTGGAGCTGCTGGTGCAGCCACGGGAGCGTGTGGAGCTGCGGTGTGAGCTTTCTGTGCCAGATGCTCCTGTGCGATGGTTCAAGGACGGGCTGGAGGTGGACGAGACTGAAAACCTGCTGCTGGTGGTGGAGGGGGCCTGGCGCTGCCTCTTCATCCCCAGGAGCAGCGTGGAGGACACGGGCGAGTACATCTGTGAGAGCAAGGATGAGGCCATCTCCTTTGATGTCAAAGTGACAGGTCAGTGGGGACCTGGGAGCAGGGAGGCACTGATAGGACTCTGGCCACAGGATCTTTCCCAGCATGGAGGAGGGAGACTGGCTCCTCTATGGTGATGAAGCTGGTGGGTGCCCACCCCCTAGGCCACCCAGCATGAATGCTTGCCTGGGGGTGGCAGCAGAAGTGTCCCTAGGGCCACGTTGTCCCCAGACTGCTTTGCATCACAGCCACACCATCTTTGCAGAGCCACCAGTGAGAATCCTGCAGCCCCTCAGACCCATCCCTGTCGTGACGGTGTCCCAGGGAGAGACAGTGACACTGGGCTGTGAGCTATCCCGTGCGGATGCACATGTGCACTGGGCCAAGGAGGGCGTCAGGCTGGAGGCTGGAGGCAGCCTGGTCCTGGAGGAGGAGGGTGCCCATCGCCGCCTGCTCATCCCCGCGGCTCAGGCTGAGCACTCTGGAAAATACATCTGCGATGCCACTGATGACACAGTGACCTTCACTGTCCAAGTGTTAGGTGAGCAAGAGGCTGGGGGAGAGTCTGGTGAAGGGTGCTGGGTGCACAGACTCTGGAGCCCTCTGTTCTGCTGATGTTGGGCACTGCAGACACACGGGTCAGGATCCTGGAGAGGGATTCGCTGCCAACCCAATGGCATTGCCGGGCCATGGAGGACCTGGTGCTGGAGGTGCACCTCTCACATGCCCATGGGGAGGTGAAGTGGTACAAGGATGGGGAGAAGCTGCAGGACACGGGACGTGTGCGGCTGGAGGAGGATGGGGCACAACGCTCGCTCATTATCCTGGGCGCCACAGGCAGGGATGCAGGGGAGTATCTCTGCGACACCGGCGACGACAGCATCATCTTCTTTGTCACTGTGGAAGGTGAGGAGGAGGTCCCATAGGGGTGGCCAGTGTGGCAGGGACCCAAGGTGAGTGCTTGGCTGCTACCAGGCTGGTGTGGGGCTGGGCTGGGTGGCAGTGAGCACAGGGAGGCTGGTGGGGGGAACACAGGGAGCAGGGGCTCTAGAAACCTTTGTGCTGCCCAGCTGCAGCCAGAGGACATCCGGACAGGATCCAAAGATAGCAACACCCAGCACAGGCTGTTGCTCCTGTGGTGACAGCCTGTCTTTCCAGTCCCAGAGCCACCGGTGACCATTGTGGGCAGCACAGGTGCTGTGGAGCATCACTGCCTGGTGGCCGGGGAGGACCTGGTGCTGGCTTGTAAGCTCTCCCAGCCTGATGCCACTGTGCGCTGGCTCCGGGATGGCCAGGAGGTGCAGACGGGTGAGCGGGTGCAGGTCAAGGCCCGTGGGGTGCTGCGGCAGCTCACCATCTGTGGAGCACAGCCTAGTGACTCGGGGTGCTACATCTGCGACGCTGCCAGCGACTGCATGGTGATGAACGTGGAGGTGTCAGGTGAGCCACTGGAAGCTCAGTGCCTTGGGCACACCGAGCGTGGTGGGATTGTGCCGCAGCAAGGGAAGAGACACCTCTGTGACCACACTGGTGGCAGATGCCAGGGTGGCAGCGTGGCAGGGGAGGGTGGGAGCCCTGTCCACAGCCCCGCAGGAGCCACTGGTCAGGAAGGGACACGTCAGGGTCATGGAGAGACACATCTCTCCCTCCTCCCCCAGCCAGGGACTGGTTAAATTTAACCTTGGCCAGCTCCCAGGCGCCGCTTCTCCTGCTTTGACTGCCAATAGCTGAGCTCAGCCCGGACTCCTATCAGCTGGAGATGGAGGGCTGGGAGAGTGGGAGGGAGCCTGGCACAGGCGGGTGTCCCAGCTCCCCAGCAAGGCGCTCAGGATGGGGAACACACCAAAAGTAATGAATCCAGCTTGGCAGCTGAGCTGCCTCTGCAGGGAGGGATGTAGGAGTGATGGGCTCTGTGACATCCCTGCCTGGAGCCCCTGAATTGACAGCCCCCAACAGCCTGCACACCTGCCCCACCAGGACCCCCAGCTGGTGCCACCATGACCCCCATCAGCCCCACAGCCCTCCTGCCCCATAATGACTCACTGTGGTCATTGCCACCTCTCCGCTTGCAGCAGTCCCATCCCTGTGCTGCCCTGCACCACAGGGACACCCCTGAGCCCTGCCTTGCCCCTGTGCTCCCCAGCCCGGCCCGTGCGTATTGTCAACAAGGAGGAGGCGCAGAGCCCACTGGAGGTGCTGGAGGGGGACAGTGTGACACTGGTGGCCCGGCTGTCCCCGGAGACGGCAGCAGTGCGGTGGCAGAAGGATGGACAGACACTGCTCTCAGGCGGGCGGCTGCTGGTGTGCAGTGAGGGCCCTGCACGCAGCCTCACCATCAAGCAAGCAGAACTGGGTGACGGTGGCATCTTCCTCTGTGATGCTGGTGACGACGAGGTGCATTTCATGCTGCACGTGAAAGGTTAGACTGGAAGTGTTCCTCACCCATGCTGGGGGGCAGGAACAGTCCCTACCCCACACCAGGATGCTTTGTGCAACCATCCTACACCGGTGCTGCCAGCGGGGTTACAGCTGAGCCTGTTGCTTCCCTGGCACAGAGGCACCCGTGCTATTTGTGAACAAGCGGGAGGAGCGGGAGAAGCTCCTGGTGCTGGAGGGTGGCAGCGCCGTGCTCTCGGCTGTCACCTCCATGGAGCGAGCTGATGTCACCTGGCTGGGCCCGCAACAGGCAGCAGTGCCCAGTGAGCGCTGTGAGCTGCGGCGGGACGGCCGAGTGCACAGCCTCATCCTCCACAACATGGCCAAGGAGGATGCTGGCATCTACACCTGCCTCTCCTCCCATGACCAGATGCAGTTTGACGTGAGCGTCCGAGGTAAGCGGTGACAGGGCAGTGGGGATACCCGGGGACACCCCTCTGGTGACAGCGGGAGCTGACGCGGGGTGTTTGGCTGTGCAGAGCTGCTGGTGAAGTTCCTGCGCGGGCTGTCAGACGTGCGGGTGCGGCAGGGCGAGCGCGCTGTGCTGTGGTGTGAGCTCTGCAAGGCGCGGGGAGATGTGGTGTGGAGGAAGGACGGGCAGGTGCTGGCACCCAGCCCCCGCCGGCAGGTAATGGCAGAGGGACGAGAGCGCTCACTGGTGCTGAGCCACGTGGAGCCTGAGGATGCTGGCGAGTACTGCTGCGAGTCCAACGATGACCAGACCCTAGCGACACTGACGGTGCAGGGTGAGCTGTGCATGAGGCTTGGCCACCACCCTGGGGACCCCTGTGCTATGGGGGTGATGAGGGAGCGCAGTGATGGCAAGGGAGGGTGTGGGGATGCTCAGCAGTTCTGCAGGATGAAGGGTCCCCATTGCTGTGCCGCAATGCCCTGGCTGTAGTCCCCAGGGTGGTGGAGATAATCACAGAGCTGCAGAGCCTGACGGTGCTGGAAGGGGAGGATGCCACCTTCAAGTGCCTGGTGTCCCCCGAGGATGTGGCTGTGGCCTGGCAGCTGAATGGCCAGCCTGTGGTCCCTGGTGAGCGGCTGCTGGTGACAAGGAGTGGGCTGTGCCACAGCCTCCACCTCCGGCAGTGCCAGCTGGGTGACGCAGGCACCGTGACTGCCAACGCCGAGGGGCTGGTGAGCACAGCCCGGCTGAGCGTGCAAGGTGAGGGGGAAGGAGCCAGCTGCAGCACAGCCCAGGGCACAGCCCCGGGGCTTGCTGCTGATCTGGTGCATGGACCACGCAGAGGCGCAGGTGCTGTTTGTGCGGAAGCTGCAGGACGTGGTGGCAGAGGAGCAGGGGGATGTGTGCCTGGAGGTGGAAGTGAGCCATGAGGCTGCCGAAGTGCAGTGGCTGAAGCACGGTGTCCTCCTCCAGCCGAGCAGCAAGTACCAGCTGCAGGAGGTGGGGTGTCGGCGCACCCTCACCATCCGCTGCCTTGGCCTTGCTGACCGTGGCACCTACCGCTGCGAGACCCTGCATGACCGCACACAGGCCAAGCTCTGCGTGGAGCGTGAGTACCATGCTGGGGATGGTACTCGATGGGGATGGGGATAAGGATGGTAATGGGGAGGGCACCCACCCACTGCGACTTCACTGCAGGCTGGAGGGGCAGATTGGGTACTTGTCTGGAAGCAAGTATGAGAGTGTTTTGGTTGAACAGGTTGGGCATTAGGGATGGGCAAGTGTGGGAACTTGGTAGAAAGGGCTGGATTTAGAGGATTACTACAGCAAGCACAGACCGGGGAGCTGGGGTCTCTGAGGGGGAGCTTACACCCCCGGCTCGCAGACATGGGTCCCTTGCAGCCTGGAAGGTGTCGATCCAGACACCGCTGGCAGATGTGGAGACCTTTGAGAAGGAGGCAGCCACCTTCCACCTGGAGCTGTCCCACCCCGGCGTGCCTGGGGTCTGGACGCGGGATGGCATCCGAGTGAAGCCCAGCAGCACATGCCATATCAGCACCACAGGCTGTGGGCACAGCCTGACGTTGGAGAGGCTGTCGCTGGAGGACTCGGGGACCATCACCTTCACTGCTGATACCCTGCGCTGCAGCGCTCGCCTGCTTGTGCGGGGTATGGCACCTCGGCAGGCTTGGGGGTGTGTGTGTGTGTGTGGCACCAACACTGCCTGTCCTGCAGCCATTCTGTCGTGGGAGAGATGTCAGGGCTGAGCTGGGCACTTCAGGCACACCCTGGCAGGTGTCCCCCTGTCCCCAGGGAGGAGATGTGACCTGAGCAGGGTCTGGGTCCAGAGCCAGCTGGGACACCAGTGAAGAGCGCTTGCTCATGGTGGTGCCACAGGAAGTGCCACCTTTCTCCTATGCTGGGATGCCCCAGGCACAGCTCCCCATCCCTGCCCATGTTTTTGCCTTACCAAACCTTTCTGTCCTGTGTTTTCCCCTCTCAGAGCCTCCAGTCACTATGGTGAGGGTCCCGCGGGACCTGGGAGTCCTGGAGACAGGGGTTGCCAGCTTTGAGTGTGAGCTATCTCGCCCCAGCGCGGAGGTGAAGTGGCTCAAGGTGAGGGTTCACCCATATCATCTCCAGCAGTGCCTGGCTGTGCTCTCCCTGCTTCACCCCACTCCCTGCAGGGCTGTGGGCAGGGGAGGAGGGGGCAAAGCAGCAGGATGCTGCCTGCCTGCGATCCTGAATGTGCTGTCCCTGAGCAGGATGGGCAGGAGCTGCGGCCAGGGCCCAACTGCCGCATCTACTCCGTGGGTCGGCGCCGCATCCTGCAGCTGAGCCGCTGCGAGCTGCCCGATGCCGGCACCTACACCTGTGATGCTGGTGACTGCTGTGCCTCCGCCACACTGCACGTCCAGGGTACAGCCACCCAGCTCCCAGGGGCATGCGCACCCCCAGACCTGCACCACCCGCTCCCCCTTGCCCTTGGCTGCCCTGGCACCCTGCTCTTTGCCTGCAGAGCGCCAGGTCCACATCGTGCAGGACCTGCAGGACACCCACGTGCAGGAGGGTGACAATGCTGTCTTCAACTGTGAGGCATCGCATGGGGACGTGAAGGGCGAGTGTTTCCGGGACGGGGAGAAAATCAAGGTCTCCAGCACGGTGAAGATACGGCAAGAAGGTGGGGGTGCAGGTGGCACCACACCTGGTTTGAGGCTCAAGCAAGGAGAGTTTGGATGGAGAGGGGTTTTCTGCCCCCTGCCTGTCATGGGCACCCATCTTCATCACCTTGAGCCTGCTTCTCCCTCCCCAGGGACCCGTCATTTCCTGCTGTTCTGCAACGTACGCCCTGAGGACAAGGGACTCATCCGCTTCGTGGCTGGGACAGCCGTCTCGGAGGCCAACCTGGAGGTGGAAGGTACTGGTGTGCAGTGCAAGGCCTTGCTGGGCTCCACCATCAAGGCTTGGGTGCACAAGGGTCAGCTCATGGGGTTCCCACAGGAGCCTACCTACCTAAATGCCAATGGCTTCCCCCCACCTGCCAGCACTGCCCATCCGTATTGTGAAGCCGCTGCGGGACAAGACGGTGCTGGCGCACCACAAGGCAACGCTGGAGTGCACCGTGTCCCACGCCCGGGGCCGAGTGCGCTGGCTCCGCGGGGACACCGAGATCTTTGCCGGTGACAAGTATGAGATCTGCAACCTGGACTGCTACCGCACGCTGATTATCCACCACGTGGGCCCTGAGGACGAGGACTCCTACACCTGCGATGCCTTTGATGACCGCTCCACCGCCCGGCTCCTTGTGGAGGGTGAGGGGGCACCAGGGGCCATGTCCCCACAGCCCGCTGCTTGCAAGGGTCTGAGCACTGGGGTGGAGGGAGCAAGCTGGATATGGGACTGGGAGTCTGTGCTCCCCTTGTGTGAGACACCCCTTTTAGGTACCCTACCAGCTCCAGGCATGCTGCAGCTCTGACTCCCACTGTCCCAACAGGGAGCTAGGAGCCAGGATGCTGCACACAGACAGACAGATGCCACTGCTGGGAGATGGGATCTACAGACAAATGGGCACCCTCCCCAGCCCACTCTGGCCTCAGGGCTCTTCATTAAACAGCATTTTTTTTTCTGACATGGCTTCTTCCACCCCATGAAGCTTGGGTTCTGTTAGGATAAGGGGTGATGGCACTGCATCCCACCCAAAATCCCTGGGTAGCCCGGCCTTGGGGTCCCCTTGCCCCTCCCCCAGCCCAGCACACCAGGCTCTGAAAGGCTCTTTACTGTGCGGCCATGGCCTCAGCAGCGTTTGGCACATTTACAAAAGAGACTGAAAAGGGGGACGGCAGCACAGTGCTGCAGGGACAGGGGTGCCTGGCAGAAACATGCAGTTCCCGGGGCAGTGGGGCTGGCTGGGCTGGGCTGCGGGGGCTCCCAAGGCAGAGGGGCACCCCAGTCCAGTCTCACCCCATCCTGCCTGCCTGGCCATGGGGAAGTCCTGGCTCACTCCATAATAAATTAATACAAATCACAGCAAGAGAAATATATACAAGGCGGGAGCCTCTGCCCACAGCGGTGCTCTGGGCATGGGCTCCTACCCTGCCCTGCCCCGGCCTGAGGCTTGGCCCAACCCCAGGGCCCCCCGACCACTATAAAATCCAGTCGCCAGCAAAACAGCGACGGCCTCTGATGCTGCAGGGGTCCCCACATCCCTGAGGCAGCCCAGCCTCTGCCCAAAGGCTGGATCCAGTGTCTTGTCCTCCCATCAAAGTATTTCCAGGGAGGGATGCACGCGGTGCACCCCGCCAGCACAGCTCCTGTTGAACAGGCCTCACTTGCCAGCATCACCCTGGGATGCAGGCTCTGCCCAGGACCACCCCAGTCCAGATTGGGAAAAGTGGGGTAGGCAAGCTGCTCTGGTGGGCAGGGAGCATGGTTAGGGCAGGGGGACTTTCTGAGGAGGCAGGTTTTAGGAAGCACTGCCTGGGAGCTGCTCTCAGGGACAGGGTGGGACAGGCGCACATGCTCAGGGGAGTCTCTGCGGGAAAGGGCTGAGGGACCTGCTCTTTGAAGAAGGGACATGGGGCACAGGCACTTGGGGAGTTGCTGGGGGGTGCGAGGGGGTAGGGGCAGGCATGGGGAGCTGCTCTAGGAGAAGGGGGGCTCAAATATGGGGAGGGCAACATTGGGATGGAGGATGACTGGGCCCAGGCCGTGAGGAAACACACAGCAGTGGGGGCTCAAGGCTCCCTGCCCCTGTAGAGCCACTCACACCGCTCATCCATAGATGCTCGTGTCCCCAGTCCTTAGGCTGAGCTCCTGCCAGTGGGCTCCCCCAGCACCTCCAGACCCTGCAGGCAGCCAGGGTTTGCCGAGCCAAGTCCCACATGTCCCCAGGAAGGGTCTCCATCTGCAGCCCCAAGCTGCATGTGGCCGCCTGGGGCCGAGGGCACAGCCCCACCTGTCCCAGGGGTCTGTCGGAGCAGGCTGGGGTGCTGGTGTCACTCGAGGTCACTGGGTTGGCTTATACCCTCACAGCTGGGCCAGAGCCCGTGGTGAGGGGCACGGTGGAACTGCAGTCATAGTCCAGGTCCACCACGGCGTGGGAGCTGGTGATGAGGCTGTTCAGGGATGGCCCCGTCTGCCGCTCTCGGAAACTCTGGATGTAGCTCTGCTTGAGAAGGGAGACAGATAGTGAAGGGGGCTCCGCTCCTGGCCCACCTCCATCCACCCCACCCTAAGTTCTGCAGCAGCACCCTCCCGAACCAGCCCTGTGTGATCTCAACCAGCACTAAGGCCCTCCAGGGACTGGCCACAGCAGGGAACACAGACCCATCCCTTCCCTGGGTGCGCACTTTGCACCTCACCCACTGCCTGTTTCTACTGTGCTGCAGGGCTTTTGGCTACCAGTTTACATTTGCTTGCAAAGGGTGAAGTGCTCTGTGGCAGGCACGTCACAGCTCAGGCCCACCAGAGCTGCCCAGTCCCTGGGACACTCCAGGGATGGTCTTGTCTCTCAAGCGCAGATGCCAGCTGATGCCAGGACACCTCTCCCCTCTCCATGCCCCGGCCCACCCACAGGGAGAAGGAAGGGCCGCAGAGGCTGGGGGAGATCTCTACCCTGGATGCGGGACTCACGGGGGAGAGCACGTCCCCATCGAAGCGGCGCACAGGGTTGGGCTTGCGGCGGTAGGCAGGCTCAGGCGGGTGGGCTTTGTGCTGGTGCGGCGGTGGGTGGTGAGGTCTCCGCTTCTTCTTCTTTTCCTTTCGGTCCTCTCTTTGCTTGATGCGCATCAGCTGCACGCGGCGCTGCTGCCGGCTGATGATCACTGCAGGGCACAGGGGCCTATAAGCAGTGGGGAGTGCACCCTAACCAGCCCCACACCCACACTTTTCAATCCCATTGAGTGCTAGGCTCCTGTAGAGTCCCAAACCCCTTATCTGTGCATGCAAACCAGGTACTGGGAACCTCCACCTTGGTCCCCAGGCCCCCAGCTCCTGCACCCTCCCCGTGCCACATCCATCTCCCCCAGCCCCCACAAACCTTCTGTGTGGGAATAGCCCTCAGCTGTGACCTTCCACTGGACCAGGACGCCCAGCGTGGTGAGGAGTGGCCAGATGCCCAGGATGACCCAGCTGTACCAGCACACAGGGCGAGCAGGAGCCACCTTGATGCGTTCGTAGATGTATTGCACCAGGAGGAAGAGCTCGATGAAGTAGTCAACAGTGACAGTCATGATGGCACTGCCAAAGACGGCGGTGGAGAGGGTGGTGAAGAAGCGTTGCCACTGCAGAGTGAGGACGGCAAAGAGCATCCCCACACCCAGGAGCAGTGCGATGGGGATCCACACTGTTGGTGGGTGGTAGAACTGCTCCATTACCACCAGTGTGGCCACTGCCAGCAGCAGCCCCAGGAGCAGCCCCACCATGAAGAGGCCAACACTGCGCACCAGCATGGTGACCAGCCCGCACAGCACCCCAATGCCCAGCCCGACGCCCACTGAGGCCTCCACACTCAGTTGTGTGTCCAGCACCCGCTCCTTGTAGCACAGCATGAAGATGATGATGGAGCCAAACATCAGCCCTGTCAGGAACATGACAGCCTTGAAGCAGCGGTAGCCTGTGGAGAGACCATCATAGTCAGGGGGTGGACGTCCAGCACCCGCCCCCCAACTCCCTCCTGCCCTTCTCCCCGTTTGCCCCACAGGCTAGCCCAGCTCACCAAAGAAGCAGTAGATGATGCCGAAGAGGCAGCACATGGCACACACCACGGAGGGCACCACCTGGTAGCGACGCTCGATTTCCTGCTGGCAGCTGTGCCCCCACTCCTGGCCCGGCTCATGCGGCAGCAGCTTGAACCGCAGCGTCTGCACAGTTGCAGTCATGGCTCTGGGGACTCCCGGAAGAGGCATCAAAATCTCCACTCCTGCCCCATGGCTCGCCAGCAAAACTGCGTGACAGTACCTGCCCCAGCTGGTGAGAGAGAGAGAGGGAGAAGGGACTTAGAGGCACTGCTGGCAAGTGCACAACAATGATACCCACCATTCAGCACCCTGCTCCGGCCCCTTGCTACCAGTCTGGCAAGGAAGGTAATGGGGGCACCTAATCTGTATGGGCTGTGGTGATACAGATGTCACCCAATGGCTGGCTGCAGGGATGAACTGTCCCCAGGGAGCCCACACCCTCAGGGAGCTTCGCTGCCAGGATACAGCACTTTATAATTTGTCTGCAGCTTCAATTTCCTGCCCCTGGCTCCCCAGTGCCTTTCCCTGCTCGATTAAAGGGAGACTTACACTACCTAGTATTTTCTGCCTGCGAAGTAATTATGCTTGGTAATTAAGTCACCCCTCAGTCTTCTATTTTTATAGGCTAAACAGATTGAGCTCTTAAAGCTTGTACTCCAAGGCATTTTCTCCAATCCTCTAATCATATTTCTGGCTATTTTTCATCCCCACTCCAGCCTCCTAGTGTCCTTGTAAAAACAAAGAAGGCCCCCAAACTGGATCCAGCCCTGCCATGCCAACCCACAGGGAAAGGGGGGGGTACCAGTCCTGGCTGTTGCTGCCCCTAACCCACAGGCTCACCCATACCACCCTTGCTGTACCAGGACACTGAGCAGGCAGTCACCGTGCCCCCCGCAGTGCCTATGCAGACGGAGGGGTCATAATCCCCTGCAAAGACTGATCCAGCTCCAGTTTAAACCTAATTACGGTGGCTGTCTGCCTGCTCCCACCTGGAGCCAGTTCCGGCATCTCTTTGCTCCCCTGGTCCCTTTCCAGGTCCAGCTGATTTAGGATGGATTTATTGTCACTGGTTGTCTCGGAGCTAGCGGCAGTCCTTGCCAGTGCCACATTAAAACAGCTGGCTCAGGACGACTCACAGAATCAGGGAAGAGGGCTGAGGCATCAGTCATGACTCCCTATTGCCCAGCACCTCAATGCCACGCAGGCCAGGCTCCACCACCACTTCTATTCCCACCACCAGCCTCCTCCCTTCCTCTGGCTGGGAAGGACACACCAGCCAGGGCAAATCCCCCTGAAGAGCAGTGCCTAATCCCAGGGAAGCAGACAGGCAGGGAGCGGGTAGCTGAGCTCTGGGCCCCTGCCTGAGCCCCCAGAGGGACGCTAAGCAGGATTGGACTTTAAACACAAATCCCAAGAGAGACACACCAGCCCCAGCTGCCCTGCAGACGGGTGATGCGGTGAGGTGAAAGCGGGGTTCTGCTGGCCAGCCGTTCCCAGCAGGTCAGGACAGGGCATCATACAGCTGGTTGGCCAGTGTGGGCACGGCGCAGCATGGAACGGCACAGCTCGGCACACCAGCAGAGCAGCAAGAGGGCAGCGAGTGCTGGTCCCTGCCCCACAACCCACGCCAGGCCGGGGCCAGGGCAGCAGGGAAGGGTCGCCTGGGAAAACCCGTCTCCGGCAGGGCTGCAGGCAGCGTTGAAGGCAGCGTTGCAGGCAGCTCCCGGCGCCCATTGGCGCGGGCACTGTTGCTAGGGGAGCCCAGCGCCTGCTCATTGGCGCCGGGACTTGCCCACCTGCTGCCGCTCTCCCCGCAGCCCCGGGCTCCCGCCGCGGCTCGCCCCGGGCCCCCCGCCCTTTCCTTTTTTCCCCTCCGTACTCCGAAGGGCCCAGCGTGGCGGGGACCCGGAAGCTGCGCCCGGGGCACGGCACCGCAGCGATACTTCCCTCCCTTCCCCTCCCCTCCTTTCCACTCTTCTCCCCTCCCCGGCGCCACCGCCCCCCGGCCAGCCCCGCTGTTCCCCGCCGGGATGCCGGGTCCCGGGCCGGCGGGGCGGGCACGACGTTGCTAAGCGACGGCCGCAAGGGCCGCCGGGGCGCGGGGCTGCTCCGCCCCTCTCTTTGTTCGGGGCGGGGGTCCCGGGGGCGCTCCGTCGGGCCCCGCACGCCCATCTCGGGCCCCGCGTCCCCTCCCCAAGCCGCGGGGCTGGGGGGAAGCCGAGAGCGCGGTGCTCGAGCCTCTCCCCAGAGGGGGCCCGGCGCGCCCCCCGCGCCCCCCGCCTGCCGCACCCCCCCGTGCTGCCCCACTGTCTGCGGCCCCGCCCCGCCCGCTCCCACCTGCACTCCCGGCCCCGCAGCGGCTGCGGCGGCACCGCGGCACCCGGCGCTCCCGGCCCCGGTCCCGGTCCCGGTCACCGCGCATGCTGGCGGCACGGCCCGCCGCGCGGTGCTGAGCGGACAGCTCCGTCTGACGTCACCGCGTAGCGTCAGCACGAAGGCCCGGGGGGCGGGACTTTGCCGGGGGCGGGGCGTGCGGCGGGGAGTGCACCGCACGTGTGGTCCGGTGCGTAGGACCCGGTGGCGGTCTCCGGACGCAGGGGCCGTGCAGTGTGAGAGGGGCACATAAAGGGGCTGCCCCCTCCTCTGCGAGAGGCCTGGGGATGCAGGCACGGCGGGAAGGTGTGGAGGTGTGGGGCTCTTCCTCTGCAGGGCTCCTGAGAGCTGGCACTTCCAGGACTCCCCGGAAATCCTGGCAGGAAGAAGTCTCTTGGCAGCAGCGACCGTTCCCCTGGCAGCCCCTTCCCAGCCCCACGCCAATGCTGCCGGGGAGACAAAGGCAGGAGCTGCAGCTGGTGGGGGACTGAGAAGGGGCTGCCGGACGAACGGCACTGCTGCTTCCCCACGGGATCTCCTGAGGACGCCAGGGGGGCCCTGGGGGAGGTGTTGGCTTTGCATTCAGCTCCATCTCCATGCAGTTCCCTTGAGCGCAGAGGCTTATTTCTGAAAACTCAAGTACTTTCTTTGACCTGCACCTCTACCTAAATACAAGCTCAGATCAAGAGAGTCGTTTCAGAATGAAACCTCTCTTATTACTAGTGTAAAGTCACGTGGGTTTGTATAATATATATAATAATATATATATATTCAGTGTTCCAACCCATAAAAGAAAAATAAGTATTTCTAACACGTTTGCACACAGAAAACGGGCAACTTTGGTTGTTTGTGATTGTGCCTGCTTTTGTCCACGGAAAATTTCTGCTCATTTATTTCTTCTGCATCCTTTCCCTTCTGGCATCAACTCATCCCACTGTGTTCCCTCTGTTTCTAGTTTTTATATGTCCTTCATTAAGCTGCCATCCACGTGACTGCCTTTGCCTATTGCTTGTCTTGGTCTATTCAGGAGAAAAAGGCCTATGAAAATGAGCTGAGCTTGGATGAGGGTCCTGTATCTCTGGGGGGTGGGATGCTGCCAACCGCTTCCTGATGAAAACAGGCTGTGTTGTTCCAGAAAATGAAAGAGACCCTGGAGCCAAGCTGGCTTCCGCCTGCCCTCGGTGCCCTGCCGTGCTCTGTGGCCACTGCTCCCAGGGAAGGCAGGCTGTGTTTCATGGAGAGGGTGGGATGGGCTCCCCAGCAGCCAGAGAATATCCAGAGCACTTCAGAGCCCCCAACGGCTGCGAGGCTGCTAGAAAAGGAGCCATGAGCTGGGAATGGGCAGAAAGGCCGGGTCCTCTTCCTTGTCCTTATTCAGTAATGCCTGGCGCCGAGCACCCATGTAAGGCTGCTGGCCTTGCAGCTTCTGGACTGGATCATTCCAGTGCTCTTTGCGTGTGGAAAACTCCATTTGGAGCCGGTTCCTACAGGTCTGTCCGCCTGGGGCTCTTAGGGGAACAGTGACCCGGCCTCATCTGTCTGAGCCCACCTCATTAGCCCTGTTCTGGGTTACAGGTTAAGGGTCCCGGCCGCTGGGATCTCGGGCTGCTCTGCCACCCTCCTTCTGCCTGGCACAGTGCACCGCTCTGCGCCCAGAGGTCTCCCAGCGCACCCCTCGCTCTCCTGGGGACACCCAGGTCCCGTCTGTGCTTTTTGGAAGACCCCCGGGGCAGCCATTTGAGAAGGGGAACGGGGCGCTTCAAGACCACCACGAATGATTCTGCCCGACGGCACCTGCCCGCGTTAATCCGCCTTTAAGCCGGCTCAGGCGCCATGTCCCGGCCGGCGGACGTGCCTTGTGCCTCCTGAGCCGGAGGCCGCTCTCTGAGCGGGCCGCCAAGCCGGTGCCGGGCACCGAGCAGCCCCGTGGCGAAGCCTCCTGGGCCTTGGAGAGGAGCCCCTGCCCGAGAGCCCCGCATCCCCGCCCGGTCCCATAGGGGAGGGCGGCGAATGGGTGCCGGGTGAGGGGGGAGATAGGAGGGCAGTCCCCGCGGTCTCCTAGCAACCCTCACACCGCCCCCCGCTCCCCGTCGCTTCTCCCCCTCACCGCCCCGTGACGCGGCGGTGAGAGCGCGGGCCATTGGTCGGGGCTGGGCCGCCAGCGGTGACGCGGGGTGGGGTGGGGCCAGGGGGTGACACGTCGGACGGCGGCCCCGCCAGCGGGAGCGGCAGCCGGAGCCGCCCCCGGTCCCGTCCCAGCCATGCGGCTGTCGCTGGTGCTGTCGGTGCTGCGGCCCGCCGGGCCCGTGGCCATCGGCGTCTCGCTGGGCTTCACTCTCAGCCTGCTCAGCGTCACCTGGGTGGAGGAGCCCTGCGGGCCGCCGCCGCGCACCGCCGACTATCCGCGCCCCGACGGTGGCCCCGCGCCGCCCCCCGGCCCCGGCCACACCAACGGCAACGCGGCGCGCAGGCCCAACGCCGTGCCCGCCGGGCTGAGCGCCGACAGCTGGGAGCCCCGCGTCGTGCCCTACCGCCCGCCCAGCCCCGGCAGGGCCGCCAAGAAGGCCGTCAGGTGCGGGGAGCCGGGCCGGGCTGGGGGAGCTGGGCAGCCGGCGCCGGTCGGGTTTAGGTGGGGGTAGCTGCGGCCGAGCCCGGGGTGCCCAGGTGCGGGCGTGTGCTGGCCAGGCCGGTGCTGGGGGGCCTGTCTGCCTGCCTGCTGGGGAGCTTTGAATGTGACCCGGGGATGTGCTTTCCCATAGCCTGCAGCCACCCAGGGCTGTGGCTTGATTTTCCCCCCTGCAAACCCTTTTCCCTGCTGCTTCCCTTCCTCCCCTCTGCTTCCCCCTTCTCCTTATCCCTTCCATCCCTGTCTGGAAGAGCTTCGTGCCCCCGCTGCTGTCTGTTGTGCAGAGGTTGCCTCTGCTATGCAGAGGGCGTGCCCCAACCATGCCCGGCCCTAGCAGGGTCCCCTCCCGCGGTGGCATATCCCCACGCAGCACTGCGAGCTCCAGCGTGCTCTGGGGCCGGCTGCAGCCTATCCTGGCACCCCCGGATGACAGGGAGCAGGCAGTGAAAGGGCCTCCTTGTCCCGGCGAGGCGGTGGGTGGACGGATGCAGGGGGCTGAATGGGGCCAGTGTGTGCCAGGCGGAGGCTGGGGGCCGGGATGGGGGGGGTCGCTTCCTGCCTCTGCGCCGGGCTGGGAGAATTAAACCTGAAAGTCATTGTGAGTGGGGCAGCTGGGGGCCGTGGTGGGGAGGGGCACAGCTGGCCCCATGCAGACATCAGCACTATCCCTGTTAGAGCTGGGGTGTGCAGCCCTGTTTCCCTCTTTAGCTGTGCTCAGCCTTTTGCAAGCCTCTGCTTTGAGCTGGGCTGGCCGGCTCGCAGGAAAGGAGGGCCCCCCATGGTCTCAGGTTGGGGGGAGCCTCAGCAGAGCGCTTTGCTGTGCCCCTAGACCAGGCATAGTTGCGGCCGGCACTGTTGAGGTGGTGTCTTGTGTGTGTGGTTGAAGCCTGGGAGGGTTTCTGCAGGGTAGGCAAGGTCAGTACTGTTGGGGAGGATGGGGAGGTGCAGGCTGAGGTGGGGTGCAGTACTCTGGGGCCAGATATTCTCTCCCTCCTGCAGGACCAGGTATATCAGCACAGAGCTGGGGATGCGGCAGCGGCTCTTCGTGGGTGTGCTGACCTCCAAGAGCACGCTGAACACGCTCGGGGTGGCTGTCAACCGCACACTGGCCCACCGCCTGGAGCGCCTGGTGTACTTTACTGGCACACGAGGCCGCAAGGTGCCCCATGGCATGACAGTGGTGACACATAGTGACGAGCGGCCCATCTGGAACATGTACCAGACCATCAGGTACCTTCTGGACCACTACGTAAATGACTTCGACTGGTTCTTCCTGGTGCAGGATGACACCTACACGGAGGCACATCGCATCAGCCACTTGGTCGCCCACCTCAGCATCGACACCCACCTCTACCTGGGCCGCCCCGAGGAGTTCATTGGTGGGGACACTGAGGGACGCTACTGCTATGGGGGCTTCGGCTACCTGCTGTCCCGCAGCCTCCTCCTGCTCTTGCAACAGCATCTGGAGAGCTGCCGCAATGACATCCTAAGCGCTAGGCCAGATGAGTGGCTTGGCCGTTGCATCATTGACTACACAGCCATCAACTGTGCCGAGGAGCACGAGGTAGGTCCTGCAGTGGAGATGGCCTTTGAGAGCCTTGTTCTGCCCCAGTGTGTTTACCTACCTCTCTGTGGGCTCCTAAGTTCTGGGGGTACCAGCCCTTGCATCCTTTTGTCCTTTGAGCTTGCTGTACTGGCAGCTGGCCATGACCCATCTCTCCTGTCTGCAGGGCCTGCGTTACCACTATTTTGAGCTGGGGAAGAATGCAGACCCTGAGCGGGAGACCGACCTCCATTTCCAGAGCGCCTTCACTGTCCACCCTGTGCTGGATCCCCTCCAGATGTACCGGCTGCACAAATATTTTGCTCAGGTGGAGCTTGAGAGGACATACCAGGAGATCCAGCAGCTCCAGGTGAGACCTGGCTTGGCTGGGAGGGTCTGGGCATTTCTGGTCATCCCTGTGGGCTTTATGGTTGCTCTGTGTCACCTCTCTCCTCTGAGGTTTTCTCACCTGGACCTGCTGTACGGTGGGATCAGCTGAGCCTGTGTGGTTGCAGGGGCAGCGGTGCTGACTGGAGGGAACCTTTGGACCTGGATGGGTCCTGGAGCTACGGTGGTGGTTCAGGGTGAATGGAGCCAGCAGGGTGCTGAGGTCTGCTAGCAAAAGCCAGGCAGGGTGGGAGAGGGCACAAATCCTACCAGTGGAAGTGGTGTGCCATATTTAGGGTGCTGTTCAGAGCAAACCTGAGGTGCTGGACAGGAGTCCGGCTGAAGGCAGAGTAGTTCTGGCACTACTTTTTGGGCCAGGCATGGCTGATCTCTGAGTATCAGAAGTCACCTTGCCTGCAGCCAGAGCTGGAAGACTACCTGCACCCACCTTGGCTCTCACTTCTCCTTCTCTCCTCTTGCAGCTGGAGATCCAGAATGCCAGCAGCCTGTCTGCTGATGGGGACCACATCGCCACGTGGCCTGTTGGCATCCCACCCCCTTTCCAGCCCAAAACCCGCTTTGAGGTGCTGCGCTGGGACTACTTCACAGAGGAGCAGGTGTTTGCCTGTGTGGACGGCTCCCCCAAGTGCGAGCTGCACGGCGTAGATCTGGCAGACGTGGCCGATGTGGTGGCCACGGCCATGGATGAGCTGAACCGCAAGTACCAGCCGGTGCTCCATGTCCGCAAGCAGCAGCTGGTGAATGGGTACCGGCGCTTTGACCCCACGCGCGGCATGGAGTACACGCTGGACCTCCAGGTGGAGGTCGTCACTCAGAAGGGGCACAGCCGCTCTGTCACCAAGCGTGTACACCTGGTGCGGCCCCTAAGCGAAGTGGAGATCATCCCCATGCCCTATGTGACGGAGGCCAGCCGCATCAATGTCATCCTGCCGCTGACAGCCCAGGACCGGGACTATGCTGCCCGCTTTCTGGAGACGTACGCAGCGGCCGCCTTTGAGAGCAGTGAGAATGCAGTGCTCACCTTCCTCTTTATCTATGACCCCTTCGAGGCCCAGCGAGTCACTGAGAATGACATCTTTGCCCCTGTGAAGGCACAGATCACAGAGTATGAGCGCAAGTATGCAGAGGTGAAGATCCCATGGATCAGTGTTAAGACAGATGCACCCTCCCAAATCAAGGTCATGGATATCATCTCCAAGAAGCATCCTGTGGACACGCTTTTCTTTGTGGCTGGTGTGGGGACAGAGGTCACTGTTGACTTCCTGAACCGCTGCCGGATGAACACCATCAACAACTGGCAGGTCTTCTTCCCTATCCACTTCCAGGGCTACAACCCTGCCATCGCTTACCACAACCAGGTACCGCCCACCACGCTGGACCTGCAGCGGGAGACAGGGCGCTTTGACCGTGATGTCTTCCATGAAGCCTGCTTCTACAACGCTGACTACATGGCAGCACGCACCCGCATGGCTGGTGATGTGCAGGAGAACGAGGACATCCTGGAGACCCTGGACATTTATGACATGTTCATCAAGTACTCCAACCTCCACGTCTTCCGGGCTGTGGAGCCTGCCCTGCTGCAGCACTACCGGCACCAGGCCTGCAACCCCCGGCTCAGCGAGGAGATCTACCACCGCTGTGTGCAGAGCAGCTTGGAGGGCATAGGTTCTCGATCCCAGCTGGCAATGGTGCTCTTCGAGCAGGAGCAGGGGAACAGCACCTGAGCCCCATGGTGCAGAGGAACTGGCCCTGTCCTGCCATGCCCACCAACCTCTTCTGCTGCTCAGATCTGTCTTCCTCTTCCCAGTGGCTGCAGGGATTGTTGGTGCCCAAGCTCATGACTAGCCCCTCTGGGGCTGCCCAGGCCGGGGTCTGCCAGTCTGGGGTCCTTCTGGAGTGGCCATGGCTGTGCAGACCCCGGGGTGAGGTGGGGTCAGCATTGCTGAGCTGTGAGTTGTCATGCCTGGCTTCTCACCCCAGAGCTGCTGTCCACCAGCCCCATCCCTCTGTCCTGCCCCGGCTGCTCAGTGGGGTGGCGATGGGCTGCCCTGTCCCTTGCTGTCCCCTGTCAACAGAGTCACACAGAGCCTAAGGCCCCCCTGCTGCAGGACCATGACTGCTGTGGGGATGGGGTGATCCCTCACGGTTTCCCCAGTGTCCTCGGACAGGGCTGTGCCCTTTGCTTCCTAAGAGCATCAGCCTCGTAGTGCAGGGAGGGACATGTCTCTGCACCTGCCACAGGCTTGGACAGTGGGATGGGGCACATCCCACCCCAAAAGAGCAATAAGGAGATTGGTCTTAGGGTTTTGCCACTTGGCAACAAGCCAGAGCACTCCCAGCTGGTCAGGGTGGGGAGTACTTGGCACCCAGGGCCAGTGGGTGCAGGGGATGCCAGAGGGGATCCTGCTGTATTCACGTACTGTGAGCTGCTCCCCATGGGAACCATGACCCAGGCCGTTTCGGCCTTCGCAATATCAATAGGACGTCGGAGGTCGCAGCCCTCGGACAAGAGCTTCCCGACAGAGGTGGGAGCCCTCCCCACCATGGGTCTGCCCTTTGGGTCGGGGAACTCAGTGCTCGGCGCTGGTGGGCACAGCAGAGCGTTTGGCTGCGCATCTCCTAAGGAGAAAGCGACTGAGGAGCCACTGTCTCCTCCTGGTTTGTATTTAATAGTGGGGAGAGGAGGGGGGAGGGATGCATTTACACTAATAAAACAGAGAGATCAACGATTTGGTCCAGCTGATTCTTCCCTGCAGCTCTTCTGGGTGTCCTGCTGGTGTGGTGTTTGGTGCTGGACTGCTTGTACAAAATGAGGCTGCAGCTGGCCAGACCACTTTCATGCAGGGATGCTGCTTTCCACAAGCCACCTGCAGCATTCTCTGCCTGAGATGGGACTTAGCTGCCTTTCCTTAGTGAGGTCAGGGGAAGCCCTTCTGCTTATGTACAGGCTGGCAGGCACTAGGTCAAGCAGGCAGCTTGAACCCCTGGGAGCTCGCACCAGGAATCCTGCGCCTCCTCTGATGCCCGAAGTCTCTGAGGTTGTCATTACCTGCTACCAGTCACTGCAGCAGGATGCTGAGCCCTTTGCCATGGGAAGCCCCAGTGCCCATGTGCTGAGCTCTTGGCAATGCTGTGTCTTTCTGGTACCATGAAGTCAGTGGGACACTGACCAGGTTTCCAGCCCTTCTCAGCCCTAAGGCAGCTGTGTGTCCTCCCACATGGGCTGCCACCATAACAGCCTTTGTGGGTTGCATATGAGTAATGGGGGATGCCTGGCCTGTGTCAGAGCAGGCATCCTCCATTGGGGTTGGCTGCCCAAGTAGAGTGAGCTCTGCCCTCCAGCATTTGAGTTCAGCTATGAAGGAAACTCTTGGACGAGAAACCACATCTGAGCACTATGTTGAATTGTTAGGGTTGAACCTGACCTTTGTGCATTGGCTTCACCATCTGTGGATCTCAGGGCTTCTCAGCATCTTGTGGTTTCCAGTTCTGGGTCAGGCAGAGCACCATGGTCCTGCCCTGCACTGTTTCACCACCTACCACTACTATTTGCATTACAAGGATGGGGAGTATGTCACTGCCCGTGCTGCCTGCTCCAGGCATGATTTTCATGGCTCTGCATGCTCGTCCTTACAAGCCCTTTGGTTGTCACATTTTACTTGTTTGAGAAACACCCGTATCAAAGAGACGTCCCCAGGAAGATTAACTGAACCTCCTTGCTGTTAGTTATCAAGGCTGTTAGTGCTCCGTGAAAGTCATGGAAAGCCCCTGGGCTGCGGGGCATACCTTCCCTGAAGACACCTCATTCATAGATTCCTGCTCCAGTCTTCGTATCCACTGAGCAGGAGCGTGGATGTTTAAATATAATTTTATTATATTTCAGGCGATAACCGTTAGCTTGCTCCAAGTATTTCTATTTTTGATCTCCCCCAGATGCATCCTTAATTCCCTTTAAATGCGAATCTGGGACAGAGGGAGTGAGGCGGATGCAGGTGGATTGCAGATGCATTTCTCCTCTGAAAAGCAGGCCTAGGAGTTGGATGTGATTAGGCGTTAGAAGAGCAACCAAATGACAATAAAACAAACCAGCTTCAAATCAAGTTGGCTGCAAAAAGAAACCCAGAATTGTATTTAGTTGCTGCAAGATGGTCTAGATGGAGTTGCTTTTGCCTCCTCATTGCTATTTGCCCCCCCCGCCCCGTACACAGGAGGAAATGACAGTGCTTGTGGCACTTGCAGCACCGTTATTGCTGCCTTTCAAAAGGAGTTAGCAGGGTTTGAACCCACTTTGCCAGGTTATCTGCAATGCCAAAACTCAGGGGAAGGATGTGAAAACCTTTGGGAAGAGGTTTGGTGATAGGAGCAGGCTGACCTGCTTGGCTATGGCTCAGAACAACCTTCCTGTGCCTGGGTGAAGTATAGGGGCTCGCTGGGCAATGTCAGAGACGTGTGATGATGGGGACATGGGCACAATCATGCTGTGCCCTCCTGCTTGCACAGGGGTGGCAGGCACAGGCAGGGCACTGGGCCAGGACAGTGTTGAAAGAGATAGGGTACTAATGTGAGTGGCTGAGCAGACAGGGATGTTCTGCACTCCTTGGTCAGGTCTGACCAGTACTGCTGTACAACGTGTGGGTTTTTTGGAAGAGGGTGTGAAGGTCCAGCTCAGAGCAAGCACCCTGAAGTACGAGGGGCAGGCTGGGTGTGCTGGAGCTCAGCGGGTGCCTGCTCCCCTCTCCTTCCTGCACCATGTCAAGCAAAAAGACTTAAACTGGGGAAAACCCAAGCTGCTGCTGTGCTGTTCTGCCCCACCTCTCAAGTTGTTCCTCTGTGCAGTCATGTGGGTGCCCCTCTGCAAATGCAGCAGTGCGAGTGAAGAAGGCAAAACCTGCTTCTCTAGCCCTGCTTGGGTCAGTTCTGGCAGCACTAAACCCCGCGGCAGTTACTTGAGCCCTGGCAATGTTAATCATCTCCGTGCTGACCTTTGGGAGGATGAAGGAAGCACGGCCGTGCCAGGAGAGGGCCGCAGAGCCGGGGGAAGCGCAGTGCCCTTTCGACACCGGGCTTTCGTTGGGCAGGGGCCAGCGGTGCCTCGCTGCCTGTCCCGCAGGAACAGCTCTGCCAGCCGCAGAGCAGGACAACTCCAGCTGCAAGCTAGGGCAAGAGAATCTGCTCTGCTTAAGGAGGAACGGGCAGGGAGATGGGGGGCTTTGCCTGCACTCAGTGCCTCGGGTGACAGCCTAAGACAGTGCCGAGCCCCTCCAGAGGGTGTGAGCATCTTTGGCTTTTCTAGCCAGGTTCAGGGAAATGAGAGCTTTTTGATAAAGAGGGAAAGAGCCGGTAGTTGTAAGTGCAGGCAAGGTTGCTGCCAGCGTGTGCTTTCCCACGGGGCTTTCCCTGCATGGGGATGTGAGCACACCCAGCTATGCCTGTGGACATCTCTTCTGGGATTGCAGAGCCCCAGCACGGGCAGACTGGAGGAGCACAAAGCCCTGGGGCTGGGGGGAGAAGCAGGCAGCTCGGTTGGGTTTTGGTTTTAATTGCCTCTTTGTTTTTTCCAGCCTGCTTGCCCGCTGTCAGGAGCTGAGAGCTGGAAAATGAGGGCTGTGTGTCCCCTGCCTGGCCTCACTGACGGGCACCAGTCCATTTTCCCAGCAAGGCGGCTGTGGAAATGGCCAGGAGCAAAGCAGTGAGCTTGGCACCTTCAGGTCATCAGGAGATGCTGAGGGTCACTCCTTTGTGTGTCACTCCAGGTGTTGCTGCCTGTCACCACTAGCATCTGTGTGCAGGAGGCACCTGGGGAGGAGGTGACAGCAGTAAGGCATTATGTCCTGTTGTACTCCAGAGCTCACTTCCAGCCCCTCCACTCCAAAGCTGGATGGTTTGTTTTCTTTGAAACACAGCTTTTCCCTGGGAACAGCTGTAATTGTGGTGTGTAGCAGTGGAGGCACAGTGGGAAGTCCCCAAGGAGATGTCCGTCCTGTGGGCAGATGGGATCCTTGCTGGCTGCTCCATCCTGGTTCCCCCTCCCTGGCGCTGGCACAGCATCTCACAGGAACTAAGTCTGCCGGGGTTGTCACCTCCACAGCGGCAGGAGCTGTCGCCAGCACAGCCGGTCCTGCTGTGGTCAGGTGCCTGGCAACTCTCCAGAGGGCTGCACTTGTTAAAATTAAGGGCCTGTTTCACTACAGTGGATCCCCTTCTAATTATCTCCAGACTACTTCATGTGGCTCATTACAGGTGATTCAAGCATTGCTGGGCTGGGCTGGGCTGTGCTGGATAGGCACAGTGTGGGAAGGGGCACTCAGGGGACACAGTGCTGGGGTTTGGGGCTGGCCCTGGGGTGCTAAGTCTGGGTCATGCCGCTGGTCCTCCTCAGCTGAGCACCTTCAGAACCGGGACATCAGGCAGAGCACAGGCAGGGGGAGATGCTGGTGTCACTTCAGCTGCCCATCCTGTTTGGAGGTGATGGGAGACCCTATAGGAGGTGTCATCCCTAGGTGCCACCAGGAAGTTGCTGAATGAAAGAGCAGAGGTGCTGAGAGAAACATCAAAATAACTTCACATCAGGTCACCACTGCAGGGCTCCCAGGACCTGTCCTGAAACAGCTTTTCCGACAGCCTCAGCTGGCAGTGTCAATGCTTTCTGCAGGCAGAGATGTTCACCTTTGGGTGACTGGGTACGCCGGCTCTCACCATGCCCAGCACACGAGTGCAGAGCTGCAAAGTGCTCTGTGGGTCCCACCACCACCTTCTCCTGAGGTGGGACCAGCTGCCCCATCTCTCTGCCCCCACAGCCCTCACAGGCAGCTCCAGATCTACTTGTGCCTCTTTATTAGGGAGCATTTGTACATGTATAAAACAGTGGTGCACATCTCTCACATTCACCAGCACGAGGACATTCGCGCCGGCCCTCCTGCTGTGGTGCCCGTGCCCGTGCTCCCCGCTCAGGGCTTACTGCTCCCGCTGACAGGAAGGCAGCCACATCCTGCATCCCTCTGCCCACTGCAAGACACCTTGGTGTAGGGTTGCCTGGCACGGTCGTGGCACATCCCTGGGTTAATGTGTGGTACCCCTCTGGGGACACTCCTGTGTGCAGATGTGGGGGCACCATGTGGGGAGCTGGCACAGGGTGCTCTGGAGAGGGTTTCCAGAGAGCACCACTGCCTGCCCTGTCAGAGGGCTTGCTGTCTTTCTCCCCATGCCTGCAGGGAGACATGGGACACAGCACAACCAGATGTTTGCACTGATGGGGAACATATTTCCACATGGATTCATATTGGGGGGGAATGTTGGGCTGCGCGTACCCAGAGCCAGGGCTGCTGGGAACATCACTAGGTCCTTGTCCTGCATCTTCCACATGTGGGGTCTTAGAGGCTGCAAGGACAACAGCTTCTTCTGCGTGTATGGCTTTGGCCATGGCATGGCACGGCCGTGTTGCATCTGCGGGCACGGCGGATGGCTACCAAACTGGCAGGACCAGGGGAAGCCTGGCTCAAACCCAGCTTCCCCCAGAGGTCCCAAATTCCTGCCCTGGGGTCCCCCTCTATGCTGTGTATGTGTATTGAGGGGGGCTTTGCCAGCCTGCCCCCCCTCCTGAGATATTTTGGGGCAGTTTGTCCTGCGCTGGTGTCTGCTACAGTGGAGGAGGAAGAGGCAATGTCCAATAGGACAGAGGGAGCGTTGTGGGTCCTGCCATGGGTCCTGCCATCTCTGGGCAGGCAGGAGCTGCCGGTGCTGGTCCTGGCCGAGGCCCCGGCCAGTGGGTTGGGCTGTGGCTGTCTGGGCAGTGCTGGGCATGGGGCACCCTCCTAACCGTGTACAGTCTTGGGGAGGCACAGTGGGTGCTCAGCACCTGGGGGGTGGGAAGGTGGCAGGGGGTACGTGCACAGTGCAAGAGAGGGGGGACAGGCAGGGGAGCAAGGGCAGGACCCCCCCGCATTATCTGGGTGGGCCTGGTGGCTGCACCAAGGGATGAGCCGCTTTGGCCAATACCTGGGTGAGGAGAGGACAGGTGGGCTGGGGGTACGGTGGGCTGGGGCAGGAGAGGGGTGGGCAGTGGGTCTGCAGTGCTGCAATGACTGGGGGTTACTGGGGGCCAACACTGGGGGGGCAGTCACAGTGCAGGGGTCTGGATGGGAACGGCAGCAGGGGGCTGCAGCTGTGGCAGGCTGCAGGCAGTTGGGGAGGGCGGGCAGATGTTTGAGGGTGTCACAGTGGTGGTGCCATGCAGGTGTGGCTGCAGGGGGGGTGTCCCTGGGCTGGCCAGGGAGACTGTGCTGCTCAGAGACATGCCCTGCAATGCCGCTCTGCCCTGCTGCAGGAAGAGAGGGGGGGATTGTGTGGTCCCTGGGCAGGGGGAAAGCTGCTCCAGGTACGTCTCTCTCCTGGGGGTGACCATGCAGGGCAGAGGCTCCCACCCTGGATAGGCCAGATGGGAAGGGCTTGGAGGGTCCTGCAGGAACCATAGCTTACCTCCAGAATGCTCTGCACTGCCTCTGCCCTGCACCCCACTGCTCCCCCAGTCTGTCCCAGTGTGCCCATTCCCCTCCATGCCATGTGCTTGAGACGGGGCTGGGCCCGTGTGCTGGGGGCAAGTGGAGGGGACAGGCAAAAGGGCTGGGGGGGTCACTCCAGTGCCAGTGCCTCGGCAGCTCTGGCAGCACCGCCGGGGGCAAACAGCACGGGCCAGCCCTGGCAGTGGGGTGGGGGAGGCAGGGGCCTGCGCTCGCTGCACCCGCTGCCGCAGTCCCTCTCCATGCAGGCAGTGGGGAGGAGGGTCCGGGGGTCTGCCCCCCGGTTCCGAGCTGGCCTAGCAGGCGAAGTCCTCGAAGACGCCCTGGTGAGGGTAGTGGTGGCGGTGGTGGTGGTTGGGCAGGATGCCCGTGTTGTAGGCACCCTCCACGTGTCGGCCCAGCGTCTCACAGGGGCTCTGCAGGGATGGCAGTCAGTGGGGTGTGCAAAGATCCCATGCACCCTGCTCCCCCAGACACCCACACCCAGCAAAGCCTGTCCCCAGGAGACTCCCAAAAGACCCTGGGGGGCACCCAGCTCCCTGGCACTCAGGGGCTGCCCTGGCTCTGCAGCCTGAGGACACCAAACATGAAGCAGTACTGGCCCTTGCTCCTGGGACAACATCCCTTCCACCTAGGCTGAGGACAGACACTGCCCAGGCCCCGTTCTTGCAGCACCCAGGGCAGCCCAGCCCCATGGGGATACCTGGTCCTTGAGCTCCTCCAGTCCCAGTGTGGCAATGCTGCCTGAGGGCTTCTTCAGGGGTGGCTTGGAGCGTCGCAGGACCCGGCTCACCCTGTCCCGGATCACCTGGATGCAGACAAAGGGTCAGCCCTGGACCCACACACAGGTAGCACCCCACGTGTGGGCACCCCAGCCTGCACTGGCTGTCACACGCTCCCCTCCTTGTGTGAGGGACTTGAGGCTGACAGTGGGGACAGCACCTCTGCCCTCTGCTCTCCCCGTCCTCAGGTCACAGTGGGGTACTGGAGGATTTCCCAGTCCCTCCTGTTGGACATTCCCCGATTTGCAGGCTGCCGTAGCCGCCTGGGGTGCGCCATACACTGCACTCCCTCCACAGGGAGCCCAGCAGCTGTGCTGTACCTCACCCACTCGCACTGCTGAGACACAGCCCAGAAGGTTTGGCACACCTCATAGACATAGTCCAGGATCTCCAGGATAGTGAGGATGCTGGCACCGATGAACAGGCCCATCTGTCCCCCAATGTCCCCTGGGGAGGAGAAGGAGATGGTCACCAAGACACACTGGGAGCCTGGGGTGGGCCAGTGGGGCTGTGGGCAGTGCCAGGACTGCCAGAAGGAGAGGAACAGTGTGATCAGAGGGGCAGGGATGGCAGAACAGAGGGAGCAAGATACATGCAGGACAGGGGACAGCCAGCAGCATGTCATCCTTCAGGCAGTCTGCGGCCAGCTCCTGCCCTCTGTGGTCCCTCCCTGACTAGCCCCACGTCCTCTGGGGTTGGGACCCAGAGCTCCCCACCCCAGGGTCCCGTGAGTAGATTGGGGGAGTCACCGAGAAGCCCAGCAAGGTCGTAGGCTTTCTTCTGCTCAATGGCCTCATAGTTGAGTGCCTCAAAGAAGATGTCCAGCACCAGAAAGTTCTCCCTGTGGGGACAACATAATGGTCAGCAAGGAGGGCTGGTCGCTCTCCCACCACACCTGCCTCCCAACCTCCCCTGTCCCCCAGTCCTCCAGCTTTTAAGTGCTTCCAGTTATTCAGGATGGTGTGGTGAGGACATAGAAGGGGTATGTCCCAGGCCAGGAGGAACCATGGGGTGGGGAGGTGCTATCAGGAGGGCTGGGAGGTTAGGGACGTGTCAGGGAGATACTCTAGTGGCAGCCATCCCTGGGCAGAGGATGCTGCAAGAACCATGTGTGGCAGGACTCACTCCATGCATGCTGGCAGGAGTGGGGTGGGGGTTCCCCAGGTCCCCAGCTCCCTGCCCACCCCACAGCACATCCCAGCACCAGCAACTCACCGGATGTAGGTCTCATTCTTGTTGTACTTGCGGGCGAGGTAGCGTGCTGAGCCCTTGTTGGGGATGCGCACCATGGAGATCTCCTTGCCATAGCGGGTCAGGTTGCATGGTGTGGGGCAGCTGCAGCGCTCCTGGCTGTCCTCCACCGCCGCGTCTGGGGGCATGCACCCATTGGCATGGTCGCATCCCCCCAGCCACCTCTATGGGGGCCCCCAGCTGGCCCCCAGCTGCCCACTTGCCGCCTCACCTACCCAGCGTGTGGTCAGCACACTCGATGTACACGTTGGGGGAGCAGATGGACTCATTGCCTGCAGAGAAGCGGCTGGTTAGGGGGGTGGCAGTCTGACACACTTCTGCCCCCCACCCTTGATGCACTCCCCTGAAGGCGTGGGGAAAAGGTGGCCCTTGAATGCAGAGGGGATGGGATGGGATGGGTGGCCCATGGGTGCAGATTGGCTGGGGCAGGAGTGGCCCCTGGGTACAAAGGCAGACAGGAAAGAGGCTAACCTGGGGTGTAAGGAGGGTAGGACAGGGGCTGACCCAGCATGTGGAGAGAGGGATGGGGCAGCGGTGATCATTCGGTGTAGGCTGTAGCGGGCCAGCGAGCCCCGGGCAGATGTCCCCATGCCCTCATGCACACCCCTCACCTGGCATGTGGACCATGCGGCAGTGGCAGCTCCGCACCACGGCCTCCTTCTCACACTGCAGGCGGCAGGCAGCAATGCTGTATGTGTCGTAGCCAGGCAGCGTCTGCTCCCCCTGCACGCTGGCCCGGCAGTTCCCCCATGGCTGCGGCAGGTAGGTGAGCTGCCAGGGTTAGAGGGGCATCGCTGCAGGGCTGCACTGGGCTGGGTGCCCGCAGACACCTCCCCGGGCTGTGGGTATCCTTCCTTACCCGCTGCTCCTGGCAGGACACGAAGGTCTGGAAGCCAGGCGAGACACCAAAGCCCAGTTGATGGATGTAGGGTGGCTCATCCTGGCTGTGAATCTGGACCCGGATGCCAGCTTCAAATGACGTCTCGTCTGCAGGAGGACAGAGGGGCTGCATGCATGCACCCACCCAGCACAGCTCTGGTGCCTGCTTGTCTCATTACCCCCACCAGCATGCCCTGCTTGCCCAGCAGCCCTCCCTCCCAGCCCTGCCTATGCTGCTGCCCCACTCACTTGTCTCTCTCCAGATGGGCAGGTACTCTTCCTGCTGGATGTCCAGCATGATCTCCAGCCCGTTGCCCATGCCACCTTGGCGGGTCACCCGTGGGTTCCTCCGGTCCCCGTTGAACGTGTAGCACTTACCATACCGTGTGTAGACCTGGGGATGGAGAAAGGGGGATGGTGAGGAAGCAGGCAGGGTGTTCTGCAAGCAGAATGAGGTCCAGGAACCCCTTTGCAATCCTTTGGCAGTGCTAGAAAGGAAGTTTGGAAAGGCTCATCTAAGCCTCCCCCTCCCATGCTGCCACCCCTTTGCCTTTGCTGGGGGATGTGACGTGTCTCTCCCAGCGCCCATGGGGCAGCCTGGCTGTCCTGCCCCTGCCAGGTGGGAACTCACAGGGGCAAAGTGCTGGGGGCCGCAGTGCTCTCCCTGAAAGCGGCAGTCTACCAGCATGTCCTCGATCTGGTGGCCCAGGCGGTGGAAGAAGCTCTGCATGGTGTGCTCGGAGCGGCGGGGTGGCAAGAAGCGCGAGTAGTTGGCAAGACGGGTCAGCCACGTGCGCCGGTCCTCCCCCAGCACGGCCAGCATCTCGGGCACCAGCGAGTGGTTCTCCCAGGCCAGCCCCAGCCACTGCCCCACCGAGTAGAGATCGGGCTTGGTGAGGTGCAGGAAGCGAGCCCGGTTGGGGTTGCAGAGGGTGACAGCCGGGAAGCGGAGCTGGGGGGCTCGGGTGAGGCGTGCCCGGGTGTGCACGGGGTGCGACAGGAGGTGGTGCAGGCAGTCGGTGGCGCCGGTGGCCAGCAGCCCGGCGGAGGCCAGGAAGGCCAGGCTCCAGAGCAGGCGGCGCAGGCGGGACTGTGGCCGGGTGCACATGTAGTGCAGTCCGGGGATCCTGGTGGCTCGCAGGATGCCGACGGTGAACTGGGCGACGCCTCCATCCCGAGCCGCTGTCAGGGCTTCCCCATCCTGGCAACAGGCAAGGGGCAGTGGCATGGCTGCAGGCAGGGTAGCTCCTCTCGGAAGTGGGGTGCAGGCTGCTCCCGAGGCTGCCCAGGGCGCCCCCAGGGAGCTCTCCCTCCAGGGAGGCTTTTGCTCTGCACCTACCTAGAGACAAACGTGGCAGGCGCCTTCCGGAGCTGCTCCAGTGACGGGCGATGGGGGGGAGAGGAGGGGGCTGCTACAAACACGCCTTCACCCAACCTCCATTCGGGAATGGAAAATTCCTCTCTGAGCTGGGCTGGGACAGGAAAGGGGGCTGGGGGGTGCTGTGTTACCCTGGGCAGAGGGAACTGGCAGCCTGCCGTGCCCCAGCATGGGGGGCACTTGTGTCTGGGTGGTGATTCCCTGTTCCAGTGACACTATGTGAGACCTGTGCCTAGAAATGATGCACTGCAGCTCATCTCCACTGTCCTGTGCCCTGGCCCTGCTCCCCCCCAGGATCCCCAGCCTTGCCTTCTCTGGGGCGGGGAGCCCTGCCCCACAGGGGCAGGACAGTGCCAGGCCTGAGGGGCTACGGACTCCTGCCAGCAGTGCTCGGGACCACATGTGTACCTTGGTCCCAAGTGCTGTGCACTGGTACCCCCTGCCCTGGAGCTGAGGACCCCAGTGGATCTGGGTCCTGTGGGTCAGGAGGCACGGAGCCATGAGGCAGGAGCTGCGTGTGAGCCCATCTGAGCCCGGCGGGCGCTTTGAAGTGACGGTGATGCTGTGATCAGAGAGCGGCGGGGGTGGGGGGGGGGTGTCTCTGCACTGTGCTGTCAGCACGGCTGGCAGGGCCCCGGCAGCCTGTCAGGGTGCCTGTAAAGCTCAGCACCACGCTCCCGGCAGCTTCTCATCCCCCACTGCTGCTGCTCCTCTGGCACCAGCCCTGCCAAGGCACGGGGTGGCCCCCGGGGGGTCCCCAGACGCTGCAACCCCAGGATGAGCCAGGGCTATTGTGCCCCCTGCGAAGGGCAGCATCCCTGCTGGTTCACGGCAGCTGGGCAGGACGAGGACAGCAGCAAAAGTGAGGACAGGCAAGAGGGGAACTCCAACTCGCCTCAGCAGTAACTCCAGCACCATCCACGCTGCTGGCCTTGCTGCAGGATCCAAGCTGGCATGGAATCATAGAATCACAGAATGGTTTGGGCTGGAAGAGACCTTAAAGCTCATCTGATTCCACAGCCCTGCCATGGGCAAGGCCACCTTCCACTAGAGCAGGTCGCTTCCCCGAGGGGCCGGTCTCCGGCAGGGGGCAGCAGGGCACCGCGGGTTTGTGCCGCCGGGCACCGCTTCCAGAGCCCGCCCAGTAGCGGGGCAGCCCCTGGGCCGGGCCGGGCCGGGCCGGCAGCGCTGTGCCTCGGGTCCTGCGCAGGGCGGGTGAGGGCAGCATCGGAGCGGGGAACAGGAGGCACCAGGGGAAGAACAGTCCCCATCCCACCTGCCACGGGATGCCAGCGCTGCCGCTTGCTCTGCTGGAAGCGCAAATGTTCTTGCGAGGCCGCAGTGCTTCCCTGGAGCAGAGCGGGGATCCCCGGGAACACCTTCATGGCTCCACACCCCAGGGCTGGCACTGGTCCTGGCACTGTCCCGCCGGTGCCGGTGTGAGCAGGAGAGTGGCAGCAAACTCCCTGCGCTCTGCGCCCCAGCCCACACTGAGCTGCCCCTTTCAGCCCGTGCGTCCCTCACCATCCCCGGGACACGGCTCAGCCCCCCCCCCCCCGCCCCGCACTGTGCTAGCATGTCTGCATAGGGCTGCTGGAGCTGGCTTGGCTTCTTGCTGAGATTTATTGTGGCTCTGAGAGCCGGAGGCTGCTAGTCTGATACCATCAGCACCTTGCACACCAGGGCAGCTTTTATATTAGTTTTCTTTTAAACAGAGGATGAGCTCCCAGGCTGGAGGAAATGTCATTTCTCTGAACGCTTCCATCTCATGTCGGTTCAGGCATCTCTGGGCAGCATCATAATCACCCTGGAGTCAGGCAAGCGATGGGGACATGGTACAGAGGCTGGGGTATGTGGGGACAAACATTGGGAACAGGGACCAGTGATGGGTAGGGCTGGGGAAGAAGGAGCAGCGGTGTCAGTGGCCTTGTCCACTGTAGCCCCAGGCAGGTGGGCATGTGGGGAGGGCAGGGCCCCAGCTGAGTTACTCACTTGTCGGCTGCCAGGGTGCCAAGGCCAGCTGTGAAACTGTGCTGGAGAGAGCACAGCGCAGTCCTGCAGGGCTTTGCCTTTCCAGCATGACAAACTCAATTAGGTAAGAGGGAGTACGTGAGGTGGAGGAGGAAGGGCAGAGGAGAGCCTGCCTGCACTGGGAACATGATTTCCTCCCTGCAGCTGACCCAGAAAAGTGCCCTGTAGGGCTGGAGTACATATGTCCATCTGAGAACAGCACTTGGGGCACAGGCCCCAGGGCACTCTGCTCCACTTGCCAGGCACCCATGGGTGCTACAGCTTCCCAGCTGGGATGGCAGGCTTCCCATAGCATGTGTGGGTCTCCCTGCTCAGACACTGCTCGCTGGCATCCCTGTGCCATGCTCATGTGCAGCGGAGGCCCTATTAGGGAGGGAATTTCTTAATACAATTCCTCCTTTCCCTGCTCTCTGCTGTGGAGACACGCTGACCTTGAGAGGAATAGCTGCTTGTACCTCAGCAGGCAGATCCCAGCCAGAGATCACTGGGGGGTCTTGTATCCTCCTCCCCTCCCCACAGCTTGCCCCCCCCTAGTCCTCTCCACTCCTCTGGGGCTCACTGTCCTGCCCCCATGCTTTCAGGAACCCAAGGGGAGCAAGGATGCTGGCCCCCAGCACCCTCACCCTGGCTCATGACAGCCCACCTTGTGAGCACAAGCACCAGCCCCATGCGCTCCCAGTCCCACATCCCCATCACTGCCAGCCCATTGTGCCAGCCTCCAGCTGATCCCAGCTCACGCAGGTATTTCCATGGCTTACACGGCTCCCCATGGTATTTAGCCTCTGGAAGACGATGTTAAACATTGCAAGCAGCGACAAATCCTGATTGCTCCGAGGAGACAAGAGGCCGTGCTAAGCTTCCAGCCAAACGTTTTCATGCAAGAGAAATGAGCTGCGGCATGTGCAGCGCCAGCGGGTCCTGCTCCTGCATGCCCAGGGCACCAGCCCTGCTCCCACATCCCCACTGGGACACCCAGCTCTGCTCCCACATCCCCTCTGCATCAGGCAGCTGGCGGGCAGGCCCTGGATATGGGCACACCACACAGGAGTGAGCACTCCAGCACAGAGGCCCTCCTGAGAACAGTCATCACTGGGATATGATGGGTATGAGGACAGGGAAGACACTGGAGTGTTCCCACCCTGGGCTTGGCAGGGATGCTAGTCTGTGTGTAACCTTAAGAGTGATCTCCAGCTACCCCAGCCCGGAGACCAAATTAACATGGGCAAGACTATGGTATAAAGGAAAGCAGCCTCCAAAATGAGAAATGCTGCTTCAGAGCGAGCCCGGGCAGCTGGAGGCACAGGGATGCTCTTGGACAGAAGATACAGCACAGGAGCTGGGGACAAACCGGAGTGACACTGGTAGAGCTGGGGCAATGGCACACCCACCATGCTGCCCCTGCTCTGCTCCTGCCCCTACTGCAGCCGTTTCTGCCCCAGAGCACAGCTCTGCTGAAGCCCCTTATTGTGCCCACAGTCTCTCTTGGCAGCCCCCCACCACATCCCCAGCAGCCTGCTCCCCGCACACAGCACATCAAGGCCCTGCCTGGGTGCCCCAGGAGGGAAGCTGGAGCGCTGACGCCAGCATTGCAATTGCCCAGGATATGAGATCCGCTTGGATTCAGCAATTTCAACTCATTTCAAGCCCGGTTCTGCAGCAATTTTCTAAGCCAGTGGGATGTTTTTGCCGCTGCAAACGTCCCCTCTCATGCATGGTCGCACCATTTCCCTTCCCCGCTCCCAGGAGGGCTTGGGGAATGGCGCCAGGTTGGCTCAAATCCAGCTCCGGTGGCTGTATGACCATCCTCCACACCAGCAGCACCTCAGTGCAGCCCTCTGCCCAGTACTGTGGGATGCAGCCCTGCTTGTGGGGCCAAGGCTCCCACCTCCATGGGGCACTGGGCTCTGCACCCTCAGTCCAAGCAGAGCTGGGTATCTTCAGCCCCAAGCAGGGCACACCAGCTGTGGGCAGGGCTCCTTGTTTCTATCATCCTGTGAAATGCCAAGCTCTGGAGCATACTCTGCAGTGCCCAACCCACTTCCCCAGGAGGAGGGAGAGCAGTGGAGTGGCAGGGGCCTGGGGGATGCTGTGGGCACATCCCAGAGGGGCCGGGACCCCTCCTGACACTGCAGATATGTCTCTCTGTGCCACAGGACAGCCTGTGCCAGCTGAGCCCCATGGCCAGGCCCGAGCCAGCAGCAGAGACATGGGTGCATGGTGCTGGCAGAGCCCCTCTCGTGCCAAGTAGGTTTGCTGTTGGAATACCAAGTATTCAGCTGTGCTGCGGGCTGCAGCACCAGCCAGGCAGAGCCGCAAGAGGCACCCAGGCTCCAGCGCTGAGCAGGGCCAGCAGGTCACTGCCAGGCTGCAGCATCTGGGCCAGCATGCAGCCCAGTGCCCCCAGGAAGAGGCAGGATCTGGAGCAGGGCTAGAGCATGGGGATGCGATGCATGGCAGAGGGATGCGCTGTGCATGCACCTTTCCCAGTGCATCTGCCCCAGTGCTGCCAGTGACATCTGCAAAGGGGGGGGACACTTGGCACCATACTGCTTTCAGAAGCAGTATCTGTGACAGCACACCCAAACCCATGTGCCAGGAAAAGAGCCCCAGGAGTCCTGCACCAGCCGAGGCAGGAGCTGTATGGGGACATACTGCTGGCAACACACAGAGCCTGGATGGCTCTGACACTGAGGCAAGGGGCTGGGGACCCCAGGTCTTCACCTCTCAGCCCCACAGAGCAGCCATGGCAGCACACAACTGCCTCTGGTAGCAGAGCAAGTGTCATAACAAAGTTGTGCTTTCCCCTGCTGCTGCTCCTTGGGGAAATTCATCCGAGAATCTCACTCATCTCCTCATTTCCAAACTAAATTTATTCATGGCCAGTTTGTACCATTTGTTCTCATGCCAGCATTGTCCCTCGGTTTTAATAGCTCTCTTCCCTCCCTTGTGTTTACT